TATTATAGCCTCAAGCTGTATCCTAAATGTGAAATTGAAAAAAATAAATAAAACGTAAAATCTTAGAACATTATTTTAACATTCCTTTGTTTCAAATTTGTTTCAAAATCTAGAATGTGTTTTGGAATGTCATTTTAAAAAAGTCATAACATTAGAATATTTATTTATTTATAAATATCCTAAAACAGTTATGGATTTAAACGCAGGGAAAGCCCATATTTTGAGACGTTTGGCCTCATACATGAGTGTTTGTCACTGAAGTGTGTTTATTAGGCGACTCAGATTGTGTTTGTCAGTCAGATGCTGACGCGTGCTGTGTGTTAAACTCATGAAATCACAGAAGTGTCATGTATTAATCACTGGATGGATGATGTGCAGAAATACAGTCAACGGCTCATTGAACTCCTGTGATGTTTTGCACCATCAGCCGTTTCGTCATGTAATGTGCTCAATCCATCTTTTTCAAGCTCTAAGACTTTTATTAAAATAAGCCAATCTAAATCTCATCTCCTGCTGCGCTGGTCTCTCACGACGTCCAGAAGCTCAGATGTCCTGCGGGCGACCACAACATTAACGAGGCCCTTTCTCAAAGAATCGCTCAGAAATACTCAGCTGGGTTCCTCGAGAGCTTTAAGGTTTAAGAAAAAGCTTTTCCTTTACATTTTATGCATCTTAAAGCACAAAACACTCGTGCACAAGTCTCAGAAATGAAATATTATTGCTCTGACAATTATCAGCTGCTGAATACATTAAAGCCGGCACTTTCTGTGGGGTCTGAGTTTATAGTTGATGAATAAAAGCATTAAATAAAAGCAACTGATGTGTATTGATCAAAATGTTATTTTAATTTTATTAATGAAATAAATGTATATATACATATAGTTATACAAATGATTTTAATAAATAAGTAAAACCAATTTTAAACTGCTTAAATAACTTATGTTGTAATCTTTTTTGTCCCAGAAATTTTATTAAAGAAAAATACCAAGGCGTACTACAAAAAAATAAAAATAAAAATAAAAATCATATTATATTTAAAATAAATATATATTTAGTTTGATTTTGTATTTATTTATTTTGTAGTACGCCTTGGTATTTTTCTTTAATAAAATATCTGAAAAAAAAAGATTACAATATAAGTTATTTAAGGACTTTAAAAAATGTTTTACTTATTTATTAAAATCATTTGTATAACTAAAATAAAATGCAATATAAAATAAAATAAAACAAATCATGACGGAATAAAAGCTGTGTCACTTTCTGTAGAGTCTGAGATTGTTGATGTATAATTTGAGTATTTTTTTTCTATAAAATAAAACTATTATTCTTTAAGGCATTAGAAAATGTGTGTCACAATTTTTTAGAAATAAAAATACACATTTATATTTATTTATTTAAAGCTTTTTGTGCCAGCTGTACTCACAATAACAGCAAGAACTTTATTTTAATGTATTTTTAATCATTTCCAGTGCAGTACCAATATTTAACTGTACTCTCAGAGGCTTTTTGACCTTTTCTCAGTTACAGTATTAATCATGTCACAGTGCAGATGCACAGACTGGCCACTAGATGGCGCCACCTCACCACTAAAAGAGTTAACCGCGCATACTCCGGACAGTAGGTCATGTTAATGTTGTGAACAATATATTGTCATTAATTAGTGTGTGTGTGGTTTGACCAGTCTTGATATCTTGTTGCCTGTCTGTGCAGTAAACCTCCGTTTACTTGCGTACTCGGCATTGAGAAGCGGCTCTAGTATCTTTCCTCCTTCACACCAAGCCCCGCCCATCCCTCATGTCATGTGACGTAATGGCACGCGTCATTTCCTCATTTTTGCATATTTGGAACGCAGAATGTTTTTGTTTGAAGTCCTTTAGGAGTGTCAGCAGTTCCTTCCCGTTTTCTCCCAAACTCACAGTTTTGGCTTTGATAAATGAAAGGATCCATTATATTCTCGGTAGGAGAAAGCGTCTTCTTCTGGGTTAGATGTGTTTTGGCTGGTGAAGATCCACGATCAGCACTGATTTCATATCAGCTGTGTTTTCATCTGAACTGCGATATAATGTCTGAATCAACATGTGACAGCTTGGTTTGGTTATCTTATTAAATATGCATGTGTTTGTATTTTTCGTGCTTTTATTATGCGATCATCAATAACTCGGATATACATACTAACATATAAATATTTATGTTTAAAAGTTTATTACGTATTATATATGTAAACATTAAAATGTTGCGTTTTTGTACCGCGCTTGATCTCAACATCTGGCACTATTGACCAGGCATGGCATATCATTAGTTATAAATAAAAATCTAACTAAAGTCATTTAAATAATGTAGATTGAGTTATCATGAGAATACAGTGTAGATGTTTAATTGATTTCGAATGTTAATGAGTGTCTCTTTCTCCACAGCTCATCATCAGTGTGGTCTGTCCCGTGGTTCACATGGCTCGTGTCTTTGTCTACGGCACGCTGAAGAAAGGCCAGCCCAACTACTTCAGGATGGAGAACACTTCCAACGGTCAGGCCGAGTTCCTCGCTCGCGCTCGAACCGTAGAGCCATACCCACTCGTGATCGCCACCAAATTCAACATCCCCTTCCTGCTCAACGAGCCCGGGACGGGTCAGCGCATCTACGGAGAGATCTACCGCATCGACCAGAAGATGCTGGACTTTCTGGACCGGTTTGAAGGCTGTCCAGAGAGATACCAGCGCACCAAGATCCAGCTGGAGGTGCAGGACGGTGAAGGAGAAAACACACTGAAGCCTGGAAGCATCGAGGAGGCGTTTGTGTACAGCAGACGTGAACCTGAGTGGCTCCAGAACCAAACATATGAGAGTTATGATGCATTCGGTGATCACGGACTGAAATATGTGCTTCCTGAGGACAGAAGCCCTGAGTAATGACTGTACCGGTAATGATTAGCAGGGTCCAAAACTAACAATTTACCACATCTGCCAGTGTCACGTCCATTTATCATTTAGATGTTTTACACACACACACACACACACACACACATATATATATATATATATACACACACACACATGTGGTCAGAATTGTTGGTACCCTTGGTAAATATGATCAAAGAAGGCTATCTGCATTGTTAATCCTTTTGATCTTTTATTTTAAAGAATCACAAAAATCTAACCTTTCATTGGAGAATAAGAATTAGAAATGTGTATATATATATTTAGGACTATCAGGTGTATTGGTACATATGCTGTAGAAGTGTTTATTATGAGTTTTCTATACTGCACATTACAACAAAATCATTAATTCTGAATGTTTTTTTGTTGTTGTTGCAATAAAATCATTAATTCTGAATGTTTTCATTTTTATCATGTAAATGATGACAAGTGCAGCACATCTGTATATATATATGGATTTATTCTGAACATATTCACGCACTGTCAAACATACATTTCTGCCAACATATAATCCATATTGTAATTCTTAATATATATATGCATTAAGAAAGAATTAAAATGCTCCAAATGCTTAAAAAAAGATTAAAGAGAAGAATTTTGGCACTCAAGCAGTTGGACAAAAGGCAGCCGGCTTCCTTCTTTTGTGTTGTTTTTCTTGCACCATGACAGAATAATGGATAACTATGAGGGACTGTGTACTCATCCCTCACACAACTAGTGTGGAACGCTTCACAGTTAGTATCAAAACTTGTATAAAAATGACATCCTACAAAAGAAAGATTTGAGTGCGGTACAAACACTTGAAGGCAGCATGTGCCGTACATCTCAGGCCTAAAGCATTACAAATCCAGCTTGTGCATAGACTCGGTCTACGGGACGACCAGGTCATTTCACCCCAAAAATAATTTCACATCAACCCAATGTCAAAAAAAAACAGCAAGTGTGAAAAGTGAAACTTTATTTTGCACCAAAAACAAGCATATGTTTTGAAGAAATATTTTTTTCCTCAGTTTTCCAAATGTTTTATTTTAATACAGTAATGAAAATCATAGACATTTTTGTTTTAATTGAAAACTGAATAAATTGTATAATACCATTATGTAAAATAACACTTGTACTAAATATTTATGCATTACAATAATGAAATTCTCAGGGCAAATTGTCATTGAAAAAAAAAGTAATAGTTCTAAAAAATAGCCTTTTTTCATGCAAAAATTTATGAATATATTCTTCAAAAAAAGATGCTTGTTTTGGTGCAAAATAATGCACCCCCCCACTCAAATCACACAGTTTTTTTATTTCTAAAATCAGAATAATTTTAATTCTGCACAACAAATAATACCATTATGTAAACTAACAATTGTACTATTTATTTTTTGCGTTAAAATAATGTAACTTTCAGGGCAAACTGTCATGAAAATGCCAAAAAATTTACCTATTTTTAATAATAAACAAAAAATCTTAATTTAATTATTAAAGGGGTCATATGATGCGATTTCAATTTTTCCTTTCTCTTTGGAGTGTTACAAGCTCTTGGTGCATAAAGAAGATCTGTAAAGTTGCAAAGACTAAAGTCTCAAATCCAAAGAGATATTCTTTAATATTTTATATATTTAAAGCAAGTTTTTTGGGCAGTGTAGAGTAGGGTTTGTTGTTTGTCATTTCTCTGATCACAAATGCAGACATGGTTTTATGTTTACGCGGCGTGATACGCACGCAGTAATAAGACAGTATAAGTCATTATAATCCGTAATTATGTCCCCACTGGATGCAACATATGCCTCGTTTGTAATGGGTTTTAATGTTATTGAATCATCGCTCCGGCCGGACAGGGCAGCATCACAGTACGTTAAGGGGCGTAACATTTCCATCTCACGCTTGAGGTATTCGGCCAATCACAACGCACTGGATAGCTGGCCAATCAGAGCACACCTCGCTTTTCAGTCCGATGAGCTTTGTAAAAATCGACGCGTTTCAGAAAGGCGGGGCATAGAGGAGAAACAATAATGTACAGTATGTGGAAAATAATGTGTTTTTTTAACCTTAAACCGCATAAACACATTTCATTACACCAAATACACAACATTATGTTTTTTTAGCAACATCATATGACCCCCCCCCATTACTTTTGGGGTGAATTTTGACCTGCACTTTTTTTTTATCACTGAGATGTAGACAGAAAGCATTACCCCTTTATAAACATCAGACCAGAAGTCAGTAATAAAAGCTGTAGTGTTACTACATTTAAAAACAGTCCAGAGATGAACGTCTGATTGACAGAGTTTACAGGCATCGGGCCTCATTCATGAAACACCAGCAGAACAGATTCATATGTAAACTGTTCACAAAAGCTTTCTCAGATTAAACCCTCGCATTCAGTTCCAGAAAACCAGTCTCGTGTACACCATAGCATCCAATAAAGCATTTAAAAAACACTCTCACGTACACATCAATAAAACATTCATAAGAACAAATCATCGCATTCAACATAACCATTGCATTCAATTCAATAAAGCATTCCTTAAAGCTTTCTTGTACATTTACACTAATTAGCTCCTGCATTTCATGAACGAGGACTGTGTCTTTGCACACTGAAAGGAACTGTAGATCTGGAAGGGTTTGGCTTTGACCTGATGTTTCTGGCACTGACCTCCATCTCAATCCCTAAAAGCCTTCTCAATTTTCCAATAAAGTGAAACAATGATATAGCACACGAAAAACTTCCATAAGAACCGTATTAAAGTGTGTAGAGAGGACCTGATTGAGAACGGTCTTTGGTCAGTAGACGTGTGGCTCTTTGCGGCTCAGAGAGCGGATGTGACTGGATGAGCAGGTGGTGCTGCGGATCACCTCCATCCACCTACAACACAACAAACACATCCCACAATGCACTGCAATCCAGCTGACATTCAATCCCCAGTGTTCTGAACAGACCACAAGTGACAGCAACACTTTTAACATCAACCTTTGAGACATTTTCACATAAAATTGCATAAAAATATATCTTTATCTTTTTTTTTAACTTATTTTTAATTACTTTTTTTAACTTAATTATTATTTTTTAGTAGTACTTTTCTGTAAATATATTTTTTGGTATCATATTTCTGTAGTAAAGTATTTGTATTACAGAAATATTGCACAAAAAATAACTAAAATTAAGTAGGGATGTTCATTTCGGTTATTTTTCCTAACCGACAACCGATTGTTAACCGTTAACCGACAAGATTATTTTAAATTAGAATTTAATTAAATTAGAAAGGATAAGTGTCTGTAACGAATAAATAGGCCTATACAAGAAACATATTTTTACTTAAATTATAAATTAAGAAAATGTAAGAAAAACAAGTAGCCTAGTATGCAGTTTCAGTAAAAAAATTTTGCTGCGTGAAAGGAAACAGATGGCAGAAAGCGGCATCCTATTTTTCTTTAGTCTTATTTTTCAAAAGCACAAAGATTTGTTTTTATTGTGAATGTACAGTGTTAGTGTTATCACTGTACCGCGGTGATGTTATGCAAAACATTTAGTTTTACATGGATATTTGAACGAGAGTGAAGTACATAATAAATAATAATTTGCCATTCAAATACATCACGAATACGGAAACATTTGATTTTGTGTGGAATGAGAGACCCAACGTTGGTTTCAGGTTCGTTTTAACCTAAATGAATTCGTTTTCGCTTGTCATTTATATTGATATAGCTTTTTATATTTTGAATTCTCGTTTTTTTCTAAATACTGTTAAATGAAAGGATTTGTTGAGGGGTGAGGGGAACTAACACTAGCTATGTTTACAGTGTTTATTATCATGTTTGTAAACATTTCGCGTCGGCATTAGGCCAATTTCTGAATGAAATAATAAAATGCGAATTATACGTGACTTTTTTTCCCCCCTAAAAAACATTTTTTTATACGCGTAGCGTATTTTAACCATGCAGCAAACCATTTTAAATATTGTTTCGCGTCGGCATTAGGCCAATTTCTGAATGAAATAATAAAATGCGAATTATACGTGACTTTTTTTTCCCCCTAAAAAACATTTTTTTATACGTGTAGCATATTTTAACCATGCAGCAAACCATTTTAAATATTTTGATAAATTACTGAAAAAACGAATAATTAAATTACTTTTGAAACCGTTTAACTGATTGTATTAATCGGTCTTTACCGTCGGTTAACCGGTTAAAATGAACATCCCTAAAATGAAGTATAACATATTTTGTTACAGAAACATTACAAAATAAATAAAAAATATAACTTATAACATAAATAATATTTTTGGTAGCATGCTTCTGTAACAAAAATTATTTTTTATTACAGAAACAGAACGAAAATTAAAATATTAGATGTATATTATATGTGATACTTTCTGTAAATAATTTTTTGTAGCACATTATACATAAACATACTACAAAGGTATACCATTTTGTTACTGAAGCGTAACACAAAATAAAGGAAATATTTATAGACATTTAATAAATTATTCAAATATCTTTTTGTTTATTTATTCATTTAACTAATACAATTAATTAACTAATTCAACATCATTAGCTATTGGCATTGTAGTGCTTTCCATTCTGAACATGTGTTTGCATGAGTATTTAGGTGTATGTTGGTTGCTGTACTGTACCTCTCAAAGGTGTACTCGCTCTCAGATCTGAAATAGTAGACGTGTGATTTGAAATGAAGCTTGAAGACGTAGTCTTTGTGGATGTTCTCGGACTCTGAGGGAATGGTGATGGAGTATCCCAGCAGAGGAAGGCTGGCCAGAGGAAACTCATCCTGCAAAGAGACCTTCACATTAAACACGGCCAAACACAGCACTGTCACATCACATCAAGAACATTTCTGACCTGGTGTGTTTTGTAGAAGAACAGACTGAAGTTGGTGAAGACCACCCATAACTTCTGCCAGCCGTTGCTGTTTTTGAACTTTCTCAGCAGATTCCCAGAGAGCTGATTCTGAAGAATAAAGACACAAACCATGAGAAAACATACTTCAGATACAACTTCAGGGTCCAAAATGAACACCATCTATAGAATTAAAATATGTGTTAACTTTGAAGTACAGATTAAGAACCTTTAAGTACTGAAATACAGCAACTGCAATTAAATCAACTAAAAATAACAAATAAAAAAAGAATAAATAATCATAGAATTACATTACAAAAAATATATATTACACAATAAGATCTCATTAGTTAATGTTAACTTATTACTAGTTAATGCATTAACTAGTATCAACTAACAATACTTTTTTAAATCTTGTATTTATTTTTTCATTTTTGTTAACATTAGTCAACAAAGATAAAAAATGCAAATATTCAGTGTTAGTTCATGTTAGCTTAGGTCCATTAAATAATATTAAAATATTAATAATAATATTTGATTTTAATAATGCTTTAGTCAATTTTGGAATTAACTACATTAACTGAGATTAATACATGTTTTGGAAGTATCTTTCATATAACTAATGTAGTTAACTAAATGTTAACAAATGGAAGCTTACTGTAAACTTACCGCATTCAATGAGAGTAATCTAAAAAATAAAATCTCATTCAAAATGGTCACAAAAACTACATCAATAATACTACAATATATTATTTTATTACTAATTACTAATACATAGCATTTAGTAATGAAACATATTTCATTGACTAACATCACTGACGTCTTATACTGTGATTTAAATCATGCATTACATTAAAATAAGGTAATGCATGATTTAAATCACAAGAGATCACAAAATATTCACAAACAAAAACATTTAATAGCAGTCTATTTTTAAATAGCAGGCGATTTTTACTCAGTGTTGTACATTTTGGACCCCAGGCACAATGAGACTGACAGCACAAAGTGTCGCCATGTTAATCAAAGATACTTGAATTTATATGCAGATCTGAATAGAAAAAGGCACTATTTATAAAGGACGTTCATCTGCACTATTTTTTTATGTTGGGTCGTGCATCAGACAGTATAGCGTGCTGCATCTTTAAGACGTAATGTCAAGTTAAATCCAGTTCGACTCCATTCTAACTGGTTTTAAATGAACGTCCCTCGACTCCTCTTTAACCAGCGGGTTAAAACAGATGTGCATCGTCACATTTGTGCTGTTAGTGTACAACTGAAGAAGAAGCAAACACACTCAACAACATTCAAAGAGAGAAAGACACTGAACTGAAACAGCATCCCAGCCCACAGTGCAGTCAGCGTTCAGAGGACACCACAAATAGCTGTCATTTCTTCAGCAGTATGTGCAGAGCAGAAGAAAGTCCAGCTTAATTATCCGCAGGTTATTCACCCGAACAAATCATTGATTGTGTGACATTTCAGCCAATAAAAAGCAGGAATGTCAAATTCACTACTGTACACGATCGAGTCATTTGAAGCAGTGCTATTTTAGTATTTACTGTATATACTCTACGCATACAGTATGTACTAGAGCCCGACCGATATGGTTTTTTTTGGGGGCCGATACCGATATTTGGGAGAGAAAAAAGACCGATATCGATATATCGGCCGATATTCTTTGTGTATATTATAGTACAGTACCAGTCAAAAGTTTTGACACTTTCCCATTCGTGTGTCCACACATTTGACTGGTACTATATATAGAATACAGTATATACATAAACAGAATATATATACATAAACACATTTTTGGGAGTAAAAAAAAGACCGATATCGATATATCGGCCGATATTCTTTGTGTATATTATAGTACAGTACCAGTCAAAAGTTTTGACACTTTCCCATTCGTGTGTCCACACATTTGACTGGTACTATATATAGAATACAGTATATACATAAACAGAATATATATACATAAACACATTTTTTGCGATGATCACTCAAATGTGGTGATCAAACACTTATAATGACGTGACAAAGATATGTAAAGATGGAGGCAGTGCATTTAACAATTTAACAATAAACTTTATTCAAAATGAGTCTGACATCAGTGCACTGAACAGTAAAGTTGAACGCGGGGGTGGTCTCATTTGAAAGAGGGCCTTGAGACGTACACTCGATTCGTGTACGAGAGGGTTCCTCGAGCGGAAGGGATCCCCGAATTTGGTGCGGATCCGCCTCGCCGTTACGGAGATATGGCCGTTCAAAGTTTCAATGGTTTTCCATAGACTTAAGCTTTAAAGTGTTTCATCCAGGTCGCCAGTAGCAAGCAATGGAGCGCGCTCTGCTGGACAAACTAAGTAATTACACCATTTCAAGCATTTTATCGGCGTTATATGCTCTGTAAAAAAAAAATTCATATCGGCGGCATATTCACCGATACCGATATATCGGCGACAGGCTCATATTGCCCGATAATATCGGCTAAATGATATATCGGTCGGGCTCTAGTATATACACATATATACTATAGTGTTTTTTTACATTTTTGAAACTGCTTTTATTTACATATTTTCAGTTTCCATTTTATTTTTAGTTTTAAGTGTTAGTAATTTGGTTATATGCAAAGTATTATTATTATATAATATATTATTATTTAAAAAAAGCTTTTGTCTTTTTAACATTTATTGTATCGATCTTCAAGAAATATTTCTATTTACTTTTAATTTCTTCTTATTTCAATTTCAGTTTTAGTAATTTAAGTACTTAAACAGATTTTATTTCAAATATTTCAAAGGCAACATTTATAATTTTCATTTAAGTGTATTAAGTTTTTTTATTTTTGTTTTTTTTTATTTTCGCTTTCTTTCTATCACTGATCATTATTTTTAATAATTTTAGTTAGTGTGTTTGCCTGACGAAGGTCTTTGACCGAAACGTTGCTATTTTTAACTTTTTTTGAATAAAGGGAGAATAACAGTGTGCAGTTTCTATTATTTAATAGTTTTCGTTAACAATAATAACTCTGGTTTGAAGACAGCCTGTCTGATTTATAAGATCCTTTGATAAGACTGAGCTTTTCTCCTACATGGGATTTTTTAACATGCTTAACAACCAGTTTATCTTTACAAAACAAACGCAAACACCAATTGCAAAATCTAATCCAATCGAGCCCCAGGCTCTTCTGGAACAGCTTTTCTTGAACTTTAACATCTGCTAAATCAGGGTTCACAAAACTGGGTCCCGGAGGGCCGGTGTCCTGCAGAGTTTATCTCCATCTTGCCTCATCAACACACCTGCCTGGAAGCTGCTAGTATGCCTAGTAAGAGCTTGATTAGCTGCCTCAGGTGTGTTTGATTAGGGTTTGACACAACGGCCCTCCAGGACCGAGTCTGGTGGCTCCTGTGCTAAACGAACGCTAGCAAATCATCGTGAGTGAAAGCGTCCGTCTTTTACCTCTCTATTCCTGCAGGTTTCACTAAAGCAGAGGCTTTGGACTCGATACCAACACACCAGAGAGAGAGACACGGGCCCCTGGGCCCTGAGTGGGGCCGCAGCGGGAGCCTCTGACAGACTGACTGGACTAGGGTCCTCTAACACAGAGCCGGACAGAGACACAAACACAGAGAGAGACATGAGAGACACACAGGGACACGGACAGGAGGAGGAAACGACACACAGCCTGATGATCTGAAGAAGAAAGAGTGTTCAAGACTCATCTAATGAAGAAAACTAAACACTGCAAACACACTTCTTCTTAATGAGTTTAGAATCAGTCTTCACAGTAAAAACATCTACAAATCCTTAAACAAGATCAACTGACTTGAGAAACAATTTAGATGTTCAAACGTTTGGGGCCAGTATTTTAATTTTTTTTTTAAAGAAATGAATACTTTAATTCAGCAAAGATTCATTAAATGACTCAAAAGTGGCAGTAAAGACATTTCTAACGTTACAAAAGATTTCTATTTCAAATAAATGCTGAAGGATCATGCGACACTGAAAATTCAGCTTTGATCACAGAAATAAATTACAGCTTACTATATATTCACAGAGAAAATGGCTATTTTAAATTATAAAATAGTTTTACTGCATTTTTGATCAAATAAATGCAGCCTTAGTGAGCATTAGAGACTGACCCAAAAACCTTTGCATGGGTCAAAGACGAGTCCTGCATCAAATTAAATGTACAAAAGTGATTTTATATCCACAGAGAGAATATTAAATGCCCGTAAAGTGTCTGTTATAATGTTTCAAATAACTTTTGTGAAAATGAAACGTCAAAATATGGGTGAAATAACGTTCCATCGTCATTTAGTGCAACAGATATATTTATGCAAAAAATGAAACTACTTTCACAATATATAAAGGAATAAGTGATACTACATTTTATAATATCTTAAATAGTTACAAATCTGTGGAGAAATGGGTGAAACCTAGTCATTTGAAGGATAGTGGCAAAGACTGGTTTTAGTTAATTAGTATTTGGAGGCTCCACTCTGATTCTTAAATAGTCTATTAATGTCATCGAATGATTCTTGAAAATGCATCTTGCATAAAGGATTTTTAGATATTTTAACTGGATAATTAGACAAGAATACTCATTAAGAACAGGATTTTATGCAGTGAATGAAATTTCTGTCATTATTATTTCACAATCACTTCTACGTGATTATTAATGCATCTGATAATGCTTTCAGCTACCAATAAAACTCTGCTTCATTTCATTCCAGATTTCAAACTATGAAAATGTGGAATGGTGCACAAATTCCATGTGGGACCAATTAGGAGTGACACCTTGAAAACAGTCAAAGTTCCCCGAGGAGGAGAGAGAGAAAGAGAGGAAGGTTAAACACAGAGACGGAGCTCTGGAGCTCTGGAGCGGGACGCTGCGCTGCGGTACCTCTAACGCTACGCTAAAATCCACCATGGACACGCTGCTGTTGCGATGCCAGCACACGTGAACCGTGGTATTACCACGGTGAGGCGTCTGCCGCTCCAGAGACGTCCGCGAGGCGCTCAGGTCGTCTTCTGACTCCTGGTCGGCGCTAGATTCCTCAGGGGACTCTGGGAAATGTAGGAAGAGCAGCCATTTAAACAAGAAAACAAAGGAAGGTGGTGATCTCTTGAGGTTTTGTGTTTTTGTACCATATGTACCATGGTAAAATCAGCCTTCCATGTACTGCAGAGCATCAAATTAATACCCAGGGGTACATAAATATGGAAATCACTATAGATATCAAAGTACCATAGTATCACTGTGTGATCTCATCATCACTGTATTCAAAGTACCTTCAAGAATACCATAGTGCACATCCAAAATACCATGGTAGTACCATATTTTTTCATTACTTTGTTTATATGACATGTTTTAGTACCATGGTACAAACTAGCATGACACTTGGACATATACAGTATATATATATAAAATATGAAACACATAAAAATACTTTAAAATAAGTATAAATTTAATAAACAATGTAAAATTAATAAAATAAAAAAAAATAATTTGTTCATAAAAATAATTATAAATGATATATATATATATATATATATATATATATATATATATATATATATATATGAAAGCCCGTAGAAATATTTCTATTTACTTTTAATTTCTTCTTATTTCAATTTCAGTTTTAGTAATTTAAGTACTTAAACAGATTTTATTTCAAATATTTCAAAGGCAACATTTATCATTTTCATTTAAGTGTATTAAGTTTTTTTATTTTTGTTTTTTTTTATTTTCGCTTTCTTTCTATCACTGATCATTATTTTTAATAATTTTAGTTAGTGTGTTTGCCTGACGAAGGTCTTTGACCGAAACGTTGCTATTTTTAACTTTTTTTGAATAAAGGGAGAATAACAGTGTGCAGTTTCTATTATTTAATAGTTTTCGTTAACAATAATAACTCTGGTTTGAAGACAGCCTGTCTGATTTATAAGATCCTTTGATAAGACTGAGCTTTTCTCCTACATGGGATTTTTTAACATGCTTAACAACCAGTTTATCTTTACAAAACAAACGCAAACACCAATTGCAAAATCTAATCCAATCGAGCCCCAGGCTCTTCTGGAACAGCTTTTCTTGAACTTTAACATCTGCTAAATCAGGGTTCACAAAACTGGGTCCCGGAGGGCCGGTGTCCTGCAGAGTTTATCTCCATCTTGCCTCATCAACACACCTGCCTGGAAGCTGCTAGTATGCCTAGTAAGAGCTTGATTAGCTGCCTCAGGTGTGTTTGATTAGGGTTTGACACAACGGCCCTCCAGGACCGAGTCTGGTGGCTCCTGTGCTAAACGAACGCTAGCAAATCATCGTGAGTGAAAGCGTCCGTCTTTTACCTCTCTATTCCTGCAGGTTTCACTAAAGCAGAGGCTTTGGACTCGATACCAACACACCAGAGAGAGAGACACGGGCCCCTGGGCCCTGAGTGGGGCCGCAGCGGGAGCCTCTGACAGACTGACTGGACTAGGGTCCTCTAACACAGAGCCGGACAGAGACACAAACACAGAGAGAGACATGAGAGACACACAGGGACACGGACAGGAGGAGGAAACGACACACAGCCTGATGATCTGAAGAAGAAAGAGTGTTCAAGACTCATCTAATGAAGAAAACTAAACACTGCAAACACACTTCTTCTTAATGAGTTTAGAATCAGTCTTCACAGTAAAAACATCTACAAATCCTTAAACAAGATCAACTGACTTGAGAAACAATTTAGATGTTCAAACGTTTGGGGCCAGTATTTTAATTTTTTTTTAAAGAAATGAATACTTTAATTCAGCAAAGATTCATTAAATGACTCAAAAGTGGCAGTAAAGACATTTCTAACGTTACAAAAGATTTCTATTTCAAATAAATGCTGAAGGATCATGCGACACTGAAAATTCAGCTTTGATCACAGAAATAAATTACAGCTTACTATATATTCACAGAGAAAATGGCTATTTTAAATTATAAAATAGTTTTACTGCATTTTTGATCAAATAAATGCAGCCTTAGTGAGCATTAGAGACTGACCCAAAAACCTTTGCATGGGTCAAAGACGAGTCCTGCATCAAATTAAATGTACAAAAGTGATTTTATATCCACAGAGAGAATATTAAATGCCCGTAAAGTGTCTGTTATAATGTTTCAAATAACTTTTGTGAAAATGAAACGTCAAAATATGGGTGAAATAACGTTCCATCGTCATTTAGTGCAACAGATATATTTATGCAAAAAATGAAACTACTTTCACAATATATAAAGGAATAAGTGATACTACATTTTATAATATCTTAAATAGTTAAAAATCTGTGGAGAAATGGGTGAAACCTAGTCATTTGAAGGATAGTGGCAAAGACTGGTTTTAGTTAATTAGTATTTGGAGGCTCCACTCTGATTCTTAAATAGTCTATTAATGTCATCGAATGATTCTTGAAAATGCATCTTGCATAAAGGATTTTTAGATATTTTAACTGGATAATTAGACAAGAATACTCATTAAGAACAGGATTTTATGCAGTGAATGAAATTTCTGTCATTATTATTTCACAATCACTTCTACGTGATTATTAATGCATCTGATAATGCTTTCAGCTACCAATAAAACTCTGCTTCATTTCATTCCAGATTTCAAACTATGAAAATGTGGAATGGTGCACAAATTCCATGCGGGACCAATTAGGAGTGACACCTTGAAAACAGTCAAAGTTCCCCGAGGAGGAGAGAGAGAAAGAGAGGAAGGTTAAACACAGAGACGGAGCTCTGGAGCTCTGGAGCGGGACGCTGCGCTGCGGTACCTCTAACGCTACGCTAAAATCCACCATGGACACGCTGCTGTTGCGATGCCAGCACACGTGAACCGTGGTATTACCACGGTGAGGCGTCTGCCGCTCCAGAGACGTCCGCGAGGCGCTCAGGTCGTCTTCTGACTCCTGGTCGGCGCTAGATTCCTCAGGGGACTCTGGGAAATGTAGGAAGAGCAGCCATTTAAACAAGAAAACAAAGGAAGGTGGTGATCTCTTGAGGTTTTGTACCATATGTACCATGGTAAAATCAGCCTTCCATGTACTGCAGAGCATCAAATTAATACCCAGGGGTACATAAATATGGAAATCACTATAGATATCAAAGTACCATAGTATCACTGTGTGATCTCATCATCACTGTATTCAAAGTACCTTCAAGAATACCATAGTGCACATCCAAAATACCATGGTAGTACCATATTTTTTCATTACTTTGTTTATATGACATGTTTTAGTACCATGGTACAAACTAGCATGACACTTGGACATATACAGTATATATATAAAATATGAAACACATAAAAATACTTTAAAATAAGTATAAATTTAATAAACAATGTAAAATTAATAAAATAAAAAATAATAATTTGTTCATAAAAATAATTATAAATGATATATATATATATATATATATATATATATATATATATATATATATATATGGAAGCCCGTTTCCGCCACTGAATAAAAAATTACAAAGGTAATTGCGACTTTTTATCTCACAATTCTGACTTTTCTTCTCAGAATTGCGTGATATAAACTCACAATTCTAAGAACATATCAGTCTTTTTCCTCCCCTCAAAATTGGACTTATCACGCAAAATTGGATTTATCATTGGATATCACGCAATTCTGACTTTATAACTCACAATTGCGAGGAAAAAAAAGTCAGAATTGCGAGTTTTAATCTCAATTTAATCAATTGTGTTTATATCATGCAATTCTGAGATAAAAAGTCACAATAACCTTTTTTTTATGTTTTATTATGTGGCGAAAAAAAATAAAAAATACAAAAATAATTAAAAAACAAAAAATTAATTTCATGATTTGATACCGTTTATTAAACAAATATCAACAAATATAGAAAGAAAAAAGTAGTTATAAGAAAAAAAGTAGTTAGACACAAGTAAAATAATTATATATAATATTTTAGTATATTAAATATTACAATATATATTAATAATATATTATATTAAATATAACTAATTGATATTATATATGAAATAAATGTAAAAAAAGTAAATAAATAAAAAACATTTCATAGGCAATTCCAACAATCAATATAAAGCAGGTAGACGCTGTCCTTTGAAGTTTTCATGAGACAAAGACAGCGAACAAAAACTCTGTCAATACTTTGATATCGGATATGAGTTCATGCATCAGGTCAGGAGACCAAACAGAGAGCAAACAGTCAAATCACAATGACATCAAACTCCACGTCTAGACGACAGGAACAATATGATGAAAGAAAAGCAGAAGAGGTTTAGTTGCTGTGAATTAAGCAGAAGAAAAAGAGCATGTGTGTGTGTCAAGAGCATCAGCTGGAGGATTGCAGGACTGGAAACCTGTGAAACGTGATGCTGAGAACCAGTGCAAACACACACATTATTTCTCTGTCATGATGCTCTGTGTGTCAGATCAGTAAATCAGCTCTAGCAGTAGTTGACATGCAGTTAATGAGAAAACTCACTGCTGTCAGTGAAACTGCTGGACAGGATCTCAGCCGAGGAGTCGTTGCATTTGTCTGCCAGTTCAATGGCCATCTTGATGTCCTCCAGCCACTTCTCCATCTCAGACGCTGAGCTGCGGAGGGAGCGAGAGCTACTGTCAATCAAAGCACTAAAGACAGCGATACTAGAATTTCACCACTTTAGTTTGATTTTACCACCCATTTTAGTTCGTTTATCATTAGCAGAGCAAAGTAGATTAATAAATATTTGCTCAAATAAAGTATAAAATAAATACTGACATTACATAACTACGTAATAATACTACGAATAAGTATTTATTGTAATAAATAACAATTATTATTATTATTTAAAACCAAACCATTTTTCTTCTTCTTCATATATTATTATAAACAAAATAACTGTTAAATTAGTTTATTATTATTTGTAGTAGTAGTAGTATTATTACAGCTAGTAGTATTTTTATTCTTAATATGAATAATACTATTGTTATTATTATATGTAATAATTATATAATAATGATAATAATAATAATCAGATAAAAATAAAAAATGTTTAGTTTTTAATTATAATTATTATTATTAGTAGTAGTAGAAAAATCTTTAGTTGAGGGCAGCTCTAATTAATATTATTATTAATATTAAATATAATAATAATAGTAATATTATTATTAAAATATGGCTTTAATTGTGGTCTGTCCTGTCAGAATCTCATTTAAATCTCAATTAAAAATGTTGTAGTATTTCTGTGGGTTTTTCCTGCTGTACAGCTCTTCTCTAAACTCAGTTCAGTAAATGCATTGGAAACAGATTGTATGTAATGTTGCAATACAATGCATTTGATCACAGAACAACAGCACTTCATAACTCTTTACAATCTACTGATACCGAACTTGATTTACTCAGAACTGCATTCGCTAATAAATATAATCAAGAGAGTAAGCTAACTGCTCCGTCAGGATATATTTCATCTTTCATTTGCACACTGAACATGCCTTTGATATGAACCGATTTTCTCAGTCTTACAAGAAAACAAGAAGGAAAGAGGACGGCACTGACACTGACGAGCATAAAGCCAGCCGTGCATGTTATATTTAACCAGTTAAACCCTGAACAGTTTAATTAGTGAGCATGTTAATTACCTGGCGGCCACGACGACGGACTGTCTCTGTCCAAACAGAGTGAAGGAATGCGGGACGCCCCACTCGTCCTCACTCTCACGGATCTACACAAACACGACACAGATTAAACCATCAGTTACTAACACTCATATTTCACCTCAAAGCCAAAAGAAGAAAAATAAGACTCATTTTTGCATAAAACAATCATCACTGATGTTATTTTGGCCCTCGATTCTCCTAAAAGTGTTAATTATTTTTCAATTAAAACCTCATCAAGATTGCAATTCAGCATCTGAATGCTGCGTGCTTCTGGATAATTACATTTACATGCAATATGCAATTTAGCGGGACGGGCCGGAGCTGTGGCCTGCAGAACATGAGCTCCTGTTTGTGTGAATGTGCAATTAGTAACTGGAGACGGAGGCAGCAGGATCACGGCATGCAGTAAAACACAGGCAGTGCTGCTGTACTGAATGGTACTGTCAGTGAAGGGAGTTGTATGATATACAGAGCTGTTTATGTTGTGGTCAGAAATGAATCAAATATTACCCACCGTCATGCCGTACAGAGGAAGCTGGCCGTGCATTTTGAACTGATTGGAGGCCGTCATCCCTCGACTCGTGTACATCAGAACATCATTGAACTGCAAACAAATTCAAGAGGAGAGAGGAATACATTAGTGTTCGTTGTTTTATCTCTCCTAAAACTGTCAAGAAAGATGATTCACTGAACCTGGTACTCCAAGGCACTTCAAAAAATACCATAGTATTACTATAGCAGGGGTCCAAAAACATGGTAATATCATGGTATGTTTTGGTCAGTACTTAGAAAATCGTACTGTGGTAATAATAAAATAAAAAATAAAATACAACCAAAATATGAATAAATAAAATGAAACATGAAAAAACACACAAATACAAAATAATAAAATAAACAATAAGACAATTAAACATTAAAGTAAAATAAAAAATAAAATGATCATATCATCATACATTTAAAATAAAACAAAAAAGCAACATAAAACATTAATTAAAAAGTTAAACAGAACTAAAATAATACATTTAAAAATAACTAAACAAAACATTCATAGAATTAAAAAGTAAAACAAAATACTTAATACATTTAAAGTGTAACAAAATAAAATAGAACAAAACATAAAATAAAAAAATTATAAATGATCAAATAAAACACCAATAAAGAAAATAATAAAGTAAAACAAAATAAATGATCAAATAAAACAATAATAAAGTAAAATAAATAAAATAAAGCAAAACAAAATAATAAATGAGCAAAAATATTAATAGATGAACAATAAATGATTGTTTTTTTATGAATAAATTAAACAAACAGATAATAAATGATCAAATACTATTCATTACTATTCATACAGCAATCAAACCAATACAGTACTTTTAATAAAGGATGCTGCAAGTCTGAATAGACTAACTAACCATCTGGCTGTAACAGATGTCTAGTACTACGTAAGAGAGTGAGAGAGTGAGCGGCTCTTACCAGGAAGAACATTCTCTGCTGTAGACCTTTTCCAGAGAGTCTGCTGAGACAACCAAGCCTGATAAACTCCTGCCAAAAAATATTACCCACCGTCATGCCGTACAGAGGAAGCTGGCCGTGCATTTTGAACTGATTGGAGGCCGTCATCCCTCGACTCGTGTACATCAGAACATCATTGAACTGCAAACAAATTCAAGAGGAGAGAGGAATACATTAGTGTTCGTTGTTTTATCTCTCCTAAAACTGTCAAGAAAGATGATTCACTGAACCTGGTACTCCAAGGCACTTCAAAAAATACCATAGTATTACTATAGCAGGGGTCCAAAAACATGGTAATATCATGGTATGTTTTGGTCAGTACTTAGAAAATCGTACTGTGGTAATAATAAAATAAAAAATTAAATACAACCAAAATATGAATAAATAAAATGAAACATGAAAAAACACACAAATACAAAATAATAAAATAAACAATAAGACAATTAAACATTAAAGTAAAATAAAAAATAAAATGATCATATAAAAACATTTAAAATAAAACAAAAAAGCAACATAAAACATTAATTAAAAAGTTAAACAGAACTAAAATAATACATTTAAAAATAACTAAACAAAACATTCATAGAATTAAAAAGTAAAACAAAATACTTAATACATTTAAAGTGTAACAAAATAAAATAGAACAAAACATAAAATAAAAAAATTATAAATGATCAAATAAAACACCAATAAAGAAAATAATAAAGTAAAACAAAATAAATGATCAAATAAAACAATAATAAAGTAAAATAAATAAAATAAAGCAAAACAAAATAATAAATGAGCAAAAATATTAATAGATGAACAATAAATGATTGTTTTTTTATGAATAAATTAAACAAACAGATAATAAATGATCAAATACTATTCATTACTATTCATACAGCAATCAAACCAATACAGTACTTTTAATAAAGGATGCTGCAAGTCTGAATAGACTAACTAACCATCTGGCTGTAACAGATGTCTAGTACTACGTAAGAGAGTGAGAGAGTGAGCGGCTCTTACCAGGAAGAACATTCTCTGCTGTAGACCTTTTCCAGAGAGTCTGCTGAGACAACCAAGCCTGATAAACTCCTGCCAAAACAGACACAACCAAGTCACACCCGAACATTTCTAACCAACTCGTTCACCTTTCTGATTCCAAGCCCATCAGAACTGACCCGTCCAGGAATGGCGAGATTGTCGACGCCAGTGAGGTCTTTCTTGAGCTCGAGAAGCTTCTGGAAGTTCTCCATCTTGATGAGGGTGCCGTGAAGCTGCACGACCATCTCAGAAATATCCGCAAGCGCAGCTGGAACAGACCAAAAGCATCTTGAGAAGATGTAGAAACTGAGAGCGAAGGCTAAAGAGTCTCTGAAGTCGTTGTGTGTCGATGGACAAAACAAAACAGAACAAAACAAAAAAACAAATATTGTTGGTCCTACTTTATTTGTGACCCTGGACCACAAAACCAGTCATAAGGGTCAAATTTTTGAAATTGAGGTTTATACATCATCTGAATAAATAAGCTTTCCATTGGTGTATAGTTTGTTAGGATAGGACAATATTTGGTCGAGATACAACTATTTGAAAATCTAAAATCTGAGGATGCAAAAAAATCTAAATATTGAGAAATCATCTTTTAAGTTGTCCAAATGAAGTTCTTAGCAATGCATATTACTGATCAAAAATTAAGTTTTGATTTATTCACAGTATGAAATTGATACTACATATCTTCATGCAACATGATCTTTACTTAATATCCAAATGATTTTTGTCACAAAAGAAAAATCGATCATTTTGACCCATACAATGTTTTTTTGGCTATTGCTACAAATATACCCCAGCGACTTAAGACTGTTTTTGTGGTCCAGGGTCACATATTAAGTGGCCTTAACTACTATGTACCAAATGATTAATTTAAACGTAAGTACAATGCACTTATTGTGTACATACATTGTACTTATATTTTAAAATATCTGCATATAATTACATCTCTAATACATTTCTGTAATTACATTTATAATTACACTGTTGTTGACCCATCTCTTACACCTTAACCCACCTTTAAACCTACCCATACCACCAAACCTGTCCCTAACCTTACACATATCCCACCTCAATAGGTGCTTTTAGCTGGCCTTAAGGTGTCCTAAATAGCTTTAAGTTGTCCTTGTTACACATGTTACATATAATTACTATTATAATAATTAATTCTGAATCAGAAACTGAGAGCGAAGGCTAAAGCGGGCGTGGGATGGCGTACCTCGCGAGTCTCTGAAGTCGTCATGTGTTGGTGGATAGTGTTTGCACAGGCGCTCCAGGATCTGCTTGTAGTGCATGAGGCGGTGCAGCGGCCGCAGGAAGAAGATGTTGAGCGGCAGGTAACACACCTTCTGCAGCTCGAAGTCTCGACACAGACCCTCCAGCCTCCGGGACGAGCGACACGTCTGCTCCAGCTCCAGCAGCGCCTCCGAATGCTTCTGAAGGTGAGCCGTGAGCAGCTGAGGAAACAAAACCAGTCACACAGATTACATTATCTGTAATAGTACTATGGTATGGTATTACCATCACACCATGGCCAAAACCACAATACTTTGATATATCACGATGATACTCTAAGAATAAAATTGTATTTCCATGATACAAGTGTAAAAAAAAAATATAGTATTTTGATAATACTGTAGGGGTAACGCATTACAAGTAACTTGAGTTATGTAATCAGGTTACTTTTTTCAAGTAACTAATAAAGTAATGCATTACTTGTTAATTTACAGTAAAATATCTGAGCTACTTTTTCAAATAATTAATGCCAGTTACTTTGTTTTCTAACAGCTTTGTGATTAACAGCTCTCCTGTTCAAATGTTGAGAAAAATCTGCAGTAAGTGCAGAGGCGTTGTGTGCAATATGTAAATACGATGGTTACTGTAGTTCTAGACTAAATATGAACATGCATTTACTCATCTCACTTGCACAAAAACAGATATAGTATTCCTCAAATTAATAAAAACGGAAATGCAAACTCAGAATACTCCACTCTTAAGTCTTGTTTAGACAGTGTCTGCCCCTTGTCTTCCAGGCCAGGCTGTACCACCCCTTCTGCCCCTTGGCTACCTGATGTTCTCCGCGAGCATCGTTCTAAGCTCAGGGCAGCTGAAAGGGTGTGGCTCAAATTAAAAAATCCTACTGACCTTAATGTGTATCAGTCACTCCTCTCTTCCTTCTCTGCTAATGTCTCCACTGCTAAAAGGACATACTATCATAACAAAATTAACAATTTGTCTAACTCTCGCATGTTCTTTAAAACATTTCCCTCCCTCCTTTGTCCTCCTCCTCCACCTCCTTCATCAACTCTAACAGCTGACAACTTTGCCACATTCTTCATTAATAAAATTAAAACCATCAGTGCACAATTTTCCACACCACAATCTGTCAAATACATCTTACCAGCAAACATACACTCGTTCACATCCTTCTCTTGACTCTCTGAGGCAGAATTCTCCGAACTAATCCTTTCTAATCATCCTACTACTTGTCCGCTTGATCCTATTCCATCTCATCTCCTTCAAGCCATTTCTCCTGCAGTTGTACCTGCACTCACTCACATCATTAACACATCCCTTCACACTGGTGTCCCTCAGCATTTAGACAGGCTTGTATAACCCCACTCGTAGAAACCCACCCTTAACCCATCTCTTTTAGAGAACTACAGACACCGGTAGTCCCTTCTTCCTTTCATTGCAAAAACACTTGAATGAGCTGTGTTCAACCAAGTCTCTGCCTTTCTCACACAGAACAACCTCCTCGACAGCAACCAGTCTGGTTTCAGAAGTGGACATTCAACCGAGACTGTCTTGCTCTCAGTTGTTGAAGCCCTAAGACTGGCAAGAGCGGATTCCAAATCTTCAATACTTATCTTGCTGGATCTGTCCGCTGCTTTTGACACGGTTAACCACCAGATCCTCATGTCAACCCTATTGGCAAAGGGCACCTCAGGAACCACACTCCAGTGGTTTGAGTCCTACCTCTCAGATAGGTCCTTCAAGTTATTTTGGAGAGGTGAGGTGTCCAAGTCGCAACATCTAACAACTGGGGTGCCTCAGGGCTCAGTTCTTGGACCACTTCTCTTCTCTTTCTACATGGCATCACTAGGTTCTGTCATTCAGAAACATGGCTTTTCATATCACTGCTATGCTGATGACACTCAACTCTACCTCTCATTCCATCCTGATGATCCGACAATAGCTGCTCGCATATCAGCTTGTCTAACAGACATTTCTTGCTGGATGAAGGACCATCCCCTTCGACTCAACCTTGCCAAGACAGAACTGCTTGTGGTTCCATCAAACCCATTGTTTCATCACAATTTCACCATCCAGTTAGGCACATCAACCATAACTCCTTCAAAAACAGCTAGAAACCTTGGAGTTATGATTGATGATCAGCTGACTTTCTCAGACCACATTGCTAAAACTGCCCGGTCCTACAGATTTGCTTTATTCAACATCAAGAAGATTAGGCCCTTTCTTTCGAGAGAAAGAAAGGGTCGTTCAGGCTAGACTATTGCAATGCTCTCCTGGCAGGTCTTCCAGCCAGTTCTATCAAACCTTTACAATTAATCCAGAATGCAGCAGCAAGATTCATTTTTAATGAGCCAAAAAGAATGCACGTCACACGTCGCACCGTTTATCAATTTGCACTGGCTACCAATAGCCGCTCGCATAAAATTCAAGGCATTGATGTTTGCCTACAAAACCACCACTGGCTCTGCACCCCTTTACCTAAATTCATTACTTCAGAATGATGTGCCCTCTAGAAGCTTGCGTTCTGCAAGTGAACTCAAAACACATCTCTTCCATCTTTATTTGACCCTCTAAACTCTAGCACTTTCTATTCTAATTCTATTCTTATAAAAAAACGTGTCCCTTTTAGACTTGCACTCTATTCATTTACTGCTTGTTTTCATTATAAAAAAAACTAACACTAGCTTTTCTAATCTTTTTGTATTCTATTTGTTTTCTTTTTATTTATTATACAGTTAACAAAAGCAAATAAGGCCTCTAACACTAGCTTGCTCTATTCTTTTTCTATTCTATCTGTTTTCTTTTTATTTATTATATAATTACAAAAAAACCTTGCTACGTGTACTGTGTTAAGCTAACTGAGACTTGTTATAGCACTTGCATATCATTGCTCTTTTGTTGATTTTGATATCTTCCATTGTCCTCATTTGTAAGTCGCTTTGGATAAAAGCGTCTGCTAAATGACTAAATGTAAATGTATTAATTTCCATAAAATGTAACTAAGTAATGCAATTAGTTAATTTATTAGGGAGTAACTCATTATTGTAATGCATTACTTTTAAAAGTAACTTTCCCCAACACTGAACACTTTTCTTTGAAAATACCATGGCATATGAACAGTAAACATACAGTCCAGTGGTACAGTGCATTGCAAAGTATCTGATATCATGTTTTTTGTTCATGTACTATGATAACACCATAGTAATCTTTTAAATTATTGCACACCATTGGCATCCTACATGTTTATTGTGTTTATGTGGTTTATTTTCAGGTGTGGCTTATGGCATAGTACTACATCACCTCAAACATTTATGAAAATAAAATAAAATAAAATAATAATTATTATTATTATTGTTGTTATTTTTATTTTTTCGTTTTCAAACATTCGGACGACTATTTTTGTCCCATTTTATGTGTAATAGAAAAAACATTGTCCAAAACTAATATCTCAGTGAAATCAAAGAGGATCAAAGAAAGGTCTAGATGTTCTGACCTTCAAACCTTGGATATTCTTCAGCATGACGTCTCCAACGCGCTGGTAGTCTCCTTTGATGTGTGCATTAGATCTACCTTCCCTGGGAACAACAAACAAAATTAACAATCATTAAATTAATATACTCAGTCTTTTATAAATATATATTGCATTTATTTTATTAATTACATTCAATTTAATATATATTAAATTAATATATTTAAATTGTAATTTTTTAATTAGATTTAATTAAAAATTATATATTTAAATTATATTTAATAATTCTATATGAACAGATTTCCTTTTTTTAATTGATGATTGTTTTTGGATTCACTTTCTAAGGACAAGTCATATTGATTACATTTTTTAGATTTTTTTTTTTTCATTTTTGTAACCTTTACTTCCACTGAATGTGCATCTTGCACATTCTGCTAAACATCTCCATTTTTGTTTGACAGAGGAAAGTCAGTCACACATGTTTGAACTTCATGAGAGTAAATGAGTTTCAACTCTGGGTGAACTGAAGTTCTCGCGTCGTCCAGCAGATGTCTCTGTTGTACATTGATGCACACAGACTTTCTGAGCTCCTGAACATGAATGAAGCATCATCTGTCACGCTATTGAGCCCCTGCTCCTCACCGAGAGCCACCGCACACTAAAACCTCCATTTATCATCCTGTCCTTTAACATAGGTCCAACCCGCTCCCCACAGAGCAGCATTAAACATTACAGCCACGCAGGAGAACATCTGAGCCGGCAGAGCTCCATCAGTTACTGTCTGAACACATTATACTGCCGGAGCGGAGGGCATGTGTAGAGTCTGATACTGCAGCTCTGTTCTGAGCAGCATTTCTAAAGACTTGCGCTCTAAAAAAAATATGAGCTGTGTCTTATGGCACAATATTAATTTGGCTAATATGGATATAAAAAAATGGTTGGATGGATAGATGGATAGATGGAGATCATTTATATAATATATGATATTATATATAAAACAATAATTAGAAGTATTATATAAATTATCTTAAAACATCTTTATTTCTAGAAACAAATTTGTATACATAAAACGTCAAATATTTTATGCAATATGATTTTTTTGATTGACTGATCAAATTGATCAAATTAAAAAACAACCATTCAATAAAAATAAACATTCTCACAAATGAAATATATATATATATAATGTAAATTTATATTAATACTATTATAATGTAAGTGTGTGTGTGTGTGAATAATGAAAATTATATACATTTTACAAGTATATTTTATAATATATTAATATTTTATTTTAAAATATTAATAATATATTTTATAACATTAATATTTTATAAAACCATAAATATAAATATTTACATGTATTTAATTTACAACTGAAATAATACACTGGCCTATCTGGTGTCTAGCTAAACATCATTTGTTAAGCCTTTCAACTAAACAAGACTTGCTAGTTATGCTAGTTAAACTAGTTATGCAGCCTGAAGGCAGACAACAGATAACCAACATTAAGGGTGTTTTTAGGACCAAAATGCAGCAGAAAAAGTGTTTAACTTTCACACAAATATCGTCACGACACATTATCTGCATGCAAAATATATTTTCCTATTTTTTTCTTTGATTTTGCGATTAAATATGGCCTGGGCATGTTATTGACAGATGCACTTTTATGTAACGACAGGTATTTCAGTCATGTGAGGTTAATTTCATGTCATGTTATATATATTAAATTAATATATTTAAATTGTAATTTTTTAATTAGATTTAATTAAAAATTATATATTTAAATTATATTTAATAATTCTATATGAACAGATTTCCTTTTTTTAATTGATGATTGTTTTTGGATTCACTTTCTAAGGACAAGTCATATTGATTACATTTTTTAGATTTTTTTTTTTTCATTTTTGTAACCTTTACTTCCACTGAATGTGCATCTTGCACATTCTGCTAAACATCTCCATTTTTGTTTGACAGAGGAAAGTCAGTCACACATGTTTGAACTTCATGAGAGTAAATGAGTTTCAACTCTGGGTGAACTGAAGTTCTCGCGTCGTCCAGCAGATGTCTCTGTTGTACATTGATGCACACAGACTTTCTGAGCTCCTGAACATGAATGAAGCATCATCTGTCACGCTATTGAGCCCCTGCTCCTCACCGAGAGCCACCGCACACTAAAACCTCCATTTATCATCCTGTCCTTTAACATAGGTCCAACCCGCTCCCCACAGAGCAGCATTAAACATTACAGCCACGCAGGAGAACATCTGAGCCGGCAGAGCTCCATCAGTTACTGTCTGAACACATTATACTGCCGGAGCGGAGGGCATGTGTAGAGTCTGATACTGCAGCTCTGTTCTGAGCAGCATTTCTAAAGACTTGCGCTCTAAAAAAAATATGAGCTGTGTCTTATGGCACAATATTAATTTGGCTAATATGGATATAAAAAAATGGTTGGATGGATAGATGGATAGATGGAGATCATTTATATAATATATGATATTATATATAAAACAATAATTAGAAGTATTATATAAATTATCTTAAAACATCTTTATTTCTAGAAACAAATTTGTATACATAAAACGTCAAATATTTTATGCAATATGATTTTTTTGATTGACTGATCAAATTGATCAAATTAAAAAACAACCATTCAATAAAAATAAACATTCTCACAAATGAAATATATATATATATAATGTAAATTTATATTAATACTATTATAATGTAAGTGTGTGTGTGTGTGAATAATGAAAATTATATACATTTTACAAGTATATTTTATAATATATTAATATTTTATTTTAAAATATTAATAATATATTTTATAACATTAATATTTTATAAAACCATAAATATAAATATTTACATGTATTTAATTTACAACTGAAATAATACACTGGCCTATCTGGTGTCTAGCTAAACATCATTTGTTAAGCCTTTCAACTAAACAAGACTTGCTAGTTATGCTAGTTAAACTAGTTATGCAGCCTGAAGGCAGACAACAGATAACCAACATTAAGGGTGTTTTTAGGACCAAAATGCAGCAGAAAAAGTGTTTAACTTTCACACAAATATCGTCACGACACATTATCTGCATGCAAAATATATTTTCCTATTTTTTTCTTTGATTTTGCGATTAAATATGGCCTGGGCATGTTATTGACAGATGCACTTTTATGTAACGACAGGTATTTCAGTCAGGTGAGGTTAATTTCATGTCATGTTACAGCTAACTAGATCTGATGCAATGCACTTGTTATTTGACTAGCAAATGAAAAGGCATCAAACAGCGTATTAAAATACTGAATGACAGATCAAGGCGTGTGTCTGTTACGGTTGGAGAAGTTTGTACAAATTCCAATATAACAAACACATTTATCTCACATACACACCACTGAGCCAGACGCTGATCCACGTCCTTCAGGAACGTCTCGTGGAATTTATACACTGGCTCAAAATTGGCAAATATGAGATTCCTCAAGGAGTCCGGCATGGCTTCGTCCTTCCCTACGGACTTCTGAAAGGACTGAAAACATACAGGGAAAGAAGAAAAACTTATAGCGTTCATGCTATGGATGAGTTATAGAGGAAGCTTTGAATTCATCTAGCTTATCAAACTCTTCTTCAAAAACCAGTTTTCCATGATATGAGCCTTTAAACAGTCTACAGTAAATAGAGGAACACATCAATCGTTTCCCATCATCACATCAAACACGAAATACCACACTGTAAAACAATTTGACTTCTTCATACAGATCCGAACATGAAGAAATCAGCAGTGTGATGACTATCTCAAACAGACTGCATGACGTGATGACAGAAGAATCCATTAATAAAGACTCTTTGTACCTTCATTCTCATGTTCTGGAGACTACAAAACATCCACTGTGATTTTACACTTGTGCGCCCCTACAAAAAAAATATTCTACATGATATATAACAGGCAACCATCTAGCAACATGTTGGCAATTATGCAGAACACCCTAGCAACCATCCAAAAGCCTAACAACATCCTAGCAACCAACCACCTAGCAACCAACCAAATACCCTAACAACCACTTGCCAACTTGTTAACAATTAACCCGAACACCCTAGGAACTGCTTATTAACACCATAGCAACCATCCCAAAACCCTAACAACCACCTAGCAACCAACCAAAAACCCTAACAACCACTGGCCAACTTGTTAACAATTAACCTGAACACCCTAGGAACTGCATATGAACAGCCTAGCAACCATCCAAAAACCCTAACAACCAAAAACCCTAGAAACCACCTGGCAACCTGTTAACAATTAACCCGAACACCCTAGAAACTGCTTATTAAGACCCTAACAACCATCCAAAAACTCTAAAAACCACCTAGCAACCAACCAAAAATTCTAACAACCACCTAGCAACCAACCAAAAACCCTAACAACCACTAGCCAACTTGTTAACAATTAACCTGAACACCCTAGGAACTGCATATGAACAGCCTAGCAACCATCCAAAAACCCTAACAACCACCTAGCAACCAACCAAAAACCCTAGCAACCACCTGGCAACCTGTTAACAATTAACCCGAACACCCTAGAAACTGCTTATTAAGACCCTAGCAACCATCCAAAAACTCTAAAAACCACCTAGCAACCAACCAAAAACCCTAACAACCACCTAGCAACCAGAGAGCTCTAGAGAGCCCTATCTTTCAGTCTATGTGCTATTTTTCTCCAGAGGTTGACCTATAAAAATGTCTTCGTACTCTTTTAAACTAAAGTCGCAGTTATCTCATGTTGCAGACTCTAGTATTTTGTTGTTGTTGTTGTTCTGTCTTTAGTTTTGTTTTCTACTGTGAAACAACGGTGCTGCCACCACTGACCCTCGCAGACCCTCGCATACGCATTAAACTACACTTTGGCCTTAATTGTGCCTCTTTGCTCACTAGCAGTGCAGAGGGTTGTGAGGAGATCTCTACGGTGTTTAAACTGTTGAACAGATGCAGCTGTAATAACGCGAGCAGTCAGGCGGGTGTGGCAGTCTGTGATCCAAACAGCAGCTTCAGATCCAGAAGCTAAAAGGAAATATTTATGAGACGTGTAAATGCGTCGCCCTGCTGCTTCTTTCCGCTACCTTGTAAGACATCAAAGAGATGCATTACAAAGCAGACGTACAGAAAGGAGGCAAGCAGCGAAGGAACAACAACTACACCTCATCTTAAATGCTTTATTATGTTTGGTGTAGATGTTTCTCCTTAACCTCCAGAAAATAGATATAAACATCAAAATGTTCAAAAACATGACTTCATAGTCGACAATAAAATTTCAGTCAAAAAACACTGCAATATTTAAAGATTTAGCTGCATGAAGAATTACAGGAAACTACCTAGCAACAATCCAGAACACCCTATGAACTGTTTAATACCCTAGAAACCAACCAACCAACCAAAAAAACCTTAGTAACCACCTTGCAACTGTTCAGAACATCCTAGGAACTGCTTATTACACCAGAGCAACCAAACACCTGAAAACATGTTATGCTTTTGGTAGCAACCCCCTGGCAACAATTATCCAGAACACCCTAGCAACCATCTAGAAAGCCATAGCAATCACCTAAATCACCCTAGCAACAATCTAGCAATGCCTTACGCAACACCCCAAACATCTTTGCAACAGCCTTACAATGCCCTGACAACCACCAGAAAACATTAGCAACCGCCTAGAAACACCCTAGAAACTACCCAGAACACCTTAGTAATGTGCAAACATTCTGCTAGAAAACCTTAGCAACCACCTAGCAACTATTAACACTACTATATCAACTGTCTAGCAATGCTCTAACAACTACCCAAAACACCCTCACAACAGCTTATTAACACCCTAGCAACAACCAGAAAACCTTAGCAACACTCAAAATGGTTTAGTACTCTAGTAACCACGTAGTGTAACCTAGTAACCCTAGAAAAGCCACAACAACCCCCAGATCATCCTAGAAACACTCTACCCAACACCCGAATATCTCTGCAACAACCTAACAACTACCAGAAAACATTAGCAACTGCCCTAGTAACTATTTAGATCACTCTAGCAATGTTCAAACATTATCCTATAACACATTAGAACCCTAGAAACCATTAAGAACACCTTAGCAACCATCTAGCAATGCTACTCACACCCAAACATATTTGAAACAGCCTAACGATGCCATAACAACTAAAACAAACCATTAGAAACCACCTAGCAACCATAAAGAACACCTAGCAACACCCTAGCAACTACTCGAAACAACCTAGCAACAGCTTATTGATGCACTAGCAACCGCCCAAAAAAAAATGTAGCAACTGCCCAGCAACACTCACAGTTCTTTAGCAAATGCATAGCAACTGTTTGGAGGAAACACACAAACAGATCACTATAGCAACTGCCTAGCAACAAGCTTCGAAACAAGGTTTATAAAATACTGAGAAAGTTTGCAGCATATATTCACATTTTCTTCAGAAAAGGTAAACATTTCAAAGTATTTCAAAACTTAAATAACAGCGCAAGTCACAGCTGGAATGTCCCAGATATTACATTAGACTGAAAACTCAAAAGCTACGTGAGATCGATTGAGTATTTAGAGTCTTACCACGGTAATGACCTCCAGATCCTTCAGATACGTCCTCTCTGTGGTCAGGAGCTCTTTGGCGATGAAGTATGCTTTATCAGCCGGGAACCTCTGTGAGTGGAAGAAAGGAAAAATTAAATGAAATTAAAAAATTAAAAATTAAATTGTGCTGGGCAATGATTAATCACATCCAAAATAAAAGTTTTTGTGTACATAATATACTGTATGTGTGTGTACTGTGTATATTTATTATGTATATAAATACACACGCAAAATATATATTTTAAAAAATATATACTGTATGTGTGTGTCTTTATATATACATAATAAATATACACAGTACACACACATATATTATATAAACAAAAACTTGTGATTAATCGTTTTTAAATGATTAAATGATTAAATTAATTCACAAACAAATAACAGGAGATATTTCTATTCTTTTAGAGATGCATTTAAAGCATTTAAAATCAATTAAATATATTTAAAATATTTATATTTATGAAGTTTTATTGCTGATAAAAATGGGTCAGAAACATAAACATCAAGGGACATTTTAGTCCAATAAAATGCTCTGTTGAACCAAATGCCGACAACTGTAGAAAGTAGAAAATCACCAGACAACATCTACGACAAAACCAAACTTGATCCTCACACATACACAGCGCGTCTCAGTGAAGTAAAACTCTCACTGTTCACTGAGCCGCTTCACTCCGCCGCTACATAATCTGCCCTAAATAGACTGGAATTTGGGTTGAGTTTATCTAGGTCTCCTATTCTGAGACGTCCACAGAGACACTTGACCGAAACGCAGTGGCACTTCTGATGATAAAACTCTTTTAATGCAGCCCTTCCACTTCTCACCGTAACCTTAATTTGTCTACAGCGCCTTCAATTCAAGCACAATGTAATTTAAAGAGGAAAATTAGCCGAGGGTCCTTGAAATCTACTGCGGAGGAGACGACTGTGGTGTTCTTGAGCTACAGCTAAAGAGGCTGAATTGGCTGACAAAAACGATCACAGGCTCTGAATGTAACCTTTTGCCACAACAATTGAGAAATTAATGAAACGTAAATATTTATCAGCAACAAAAGACCTAACTACTCATAAACATTATATTGGTCAGGCATATTAATTACTTAATATTTGATTATTCTGAGTGATTTTTTAGTAAATGCAGAGTAAAATAAAGCTATTCATTTAATTTCAGCAATTTTGTGCACATGACAATGGAAGTATTTATTTATTTGTTTGTTTGTTTATTGATTCATTCATTGCCACATCAGCAGCAAAGGCTAAATAGAATTAATTAAAAATAATAACAATAAAAAAAAGGACTGTCAAATGATTAATCGTGATATATTTAAGAAAAATATGCTATATTTATATATAAATTATATATAATATAAATACATACTAGTGCTGTCAAACGATTAATCACATCCAAAATAAAAGTTTTTGTTTACATAATATATGTATGTGTACTGTGTTTATTATGTATATATAACTGTATGTGTGTGTACTGTGTATATTTATTATGTATATAAATACACACGCAAAATATATATTTTAAAAAATATATACTGTATGTGTGTGTCTTTATATATACATAATAAATATACACAGTACACACACATATATTATATAAACAAAAACTTGTGATTAATCGTTTTTAAATGATTAAATGATTAAATTAATTCACAAACAAATAACAGGAGATATTTCTATTCTTTTAGAGATGCATTTAAAGCATTTAAAATCAATTAAATATATTTAAAATATTTATATTTATGAAGTTTTATTGCTGATAAAAATGGGTCAGAAACATAAACATCAAGGGACATTTTAGTCCAATAAAATGCTCTGTTGAACCAAATGCCGACAACTGTAGAAAGTAGAAAATCACCAGACAACATCTACGACAAAACCAAACTTGATCCTCACACATACACAGCGCGTCTCAGTGAAGTAAAACTCTCACTGTTCACTGAGCCGCTTCACTCCGCCGCTACATAATCTGCCCTAAATAGACTGGAATTTGGGTTGAGTTTATCTAGGTCTCCTATTCTGAGACGTCCACAGAGACACTTGACCGAAACGCAGTGGCACTTCTGATGATAAAACTCTTTTAATGCAGCCCTTCCACTTCTCACCGTAACCTTAATTTGTCTACAGCGCCTTCAATTCAAGCACAATGTAATTTAAAGAGGAAAATTAGCCGAGGGTCCTTGAAATCTACTGCGGAGGAGACGACTGTGGTGTTCTTGAGCTACAGCTAAAGAGGCTGAATTGGCTGACAAAAACGATCACAGGCTCTGAATGTAACCTTTTGCCACAACAATTGAGAAATTAATGAAACGTAAATATTTATCAGCAACAAAAGACCTAACTACTCATAAACATTATATTGGTCAGGCATATTAATTACTTAATATTTGATTATTCTGAGTGATTTTTTAGTAAATGCAGAGTAAAATAAAGCTATTCATTTAATTTCAGCAATTTTGTGCACATGACAATGGAAGTATTTATTTATTTGTTTGTTTGTTTATTGATTCATTCATTGCCACATCAGCAGCAAAGGCTAAATAGAATTAATTAAAAATAATAACAATAAAAAAAAGGACTGTCAAATGATTAATCGTGATATATTTAAGAAAAATATGCTATATTTATATATAAATTATATATAATATAAATACATACTAGTGCTGTCAAACGATTAATCACATCCAAAATAAAAGTTTTTGTTTACATAATATATGTATGTGTACTGTGTTTATTATGTATATATAAATACACACATACAATATATATTTTGAAAATATTTACATGTATATACATTTATATATTCATATTATTATATTGTATATTATACATAAATATATTTATCATATAAACGTAAAATTTTTCTTAAATATATACATGCATAATAAATATACACAGTACATACACATATATTATGTAAACACAAACATTTATTTGTGTGCGATTAATCATTTGACAGCCTTAATAAAAATTACATACTTTGACCAAATATAAAAAATATATATAATATATTCTAATAAACAAAAAACATATGTAAACAAAAAAAATACAGATTTTTTTTTTATAAAACTGTATAATGAAATAATATTATTATTAATTTATAATAAAAAAATGTAATGAGTTAATATTATAAATATATACTATATGTAAGCTCTTTCACATTCATGATTTTAAACTAAACCCTTCTCTCTAGATATCAGCATTAAAGGGATAGTTCCCCCAAAAATGGTGACGGCAGCCATTGACTTTCATAGTCATTTTTCATACTATGGAAGTAAATGGCTACCGTCAGCTGTTTGGTTACCAACATTCTTTAAAATATCTTCTTTTGTGCTCAAGAGAAGAAAGAAACAGTTCAAGAAACAGAAAACCTAAACAATTTTGGAACAATGACCAGTGATTAGCGAGGTTCAAAATAGCATTCTCACAACAGTCAACAATTTGACTTTAACCACATAATACAGTAGTAAACAACCAGAGTGACCCACCAACGCCACTACTAGCACATGCTGCTAATCTCGAACATTGTTCCCTTTCCAAAAGACAAACCTTCCTCCGAACCTCGTCCTCGTCATCTGTGCGGACGAAGCCGGCATCCGTCAGTAAGGGGCTGGTGAGAGGCGAAGGCTGCCGTCCGTCTGGACTTTGGCCCAGGCTGAGACTCTGTTTCTGGCCATTCACCATCACCTGGCCTGCAGACGGAGACTCGCTGTGCTGAGGGCTCCTGGAAACTGGACCTAAAGGAGATCAGGCACGTCATGCTAAAGCCTTGAAGTAATGCAGATTGGGTTATCAAATATCAATGGACTAGTGAGTGAGCACTTAGTCAATACAATCAAGTATGAGGGTACAAAATGTACATTCAGTCAAACTACCCTACTGAAAAAAGCAGCTAGTGACCAGCAAGCATTTTAGATGCTGGTATCATGACCAGAAATCTTCACTAGCAAGATTTCTTAGTCAACAGCTTTACCAACAAAAAAACTGCATGGTTTATCAGTAAGACCAGCAACAACCATCTTGGACTAGCATGCAAATCCATGCCAATTTCAGCAGGTCTTTTCTGCAGGGTAGTTTTGACATTTTCATCCTTAATACTACTAGTAAAGATTCAAAATCGCCAAGGGGTAAAGCTGCACGACACACATTGTGTTTGTAATTAGACTACGGATGACAGCACCACATCGGGATCCAGACACACCATCACACACCATCCCAGTCTGGGATTACCGCCCGAGGACACTGCCGGGATACATAACACATTCCCTGGATGATGGGGAAATCTTCAGACCACTATACATTCACTACACAAGTACATTCACATACTTGCCCGACAACGTTTCGTGTCCCATGCCTTGGCACGAATGGGATGCGACATGCGAACCGGGACATTTCAAATGCACCGAGTGTCCACAGCACAGCCATTATTGAGGACGTTGGACGAGCCGCAAATCTGGTGACAAAGGCCTCATCACGCACACATGCAAACATGCAAGACAAACAACTAAATGACTACGGCTACTCTACCACGAAACAAGGCGCTAACATCTACGGGCATCGGAGTAAACGTCTGGAGTCCCGCTTCACAAGTACCATGTTTTATTGCTACTAATACACATTCATTTACAATGTTAAAGTGTTCCAGAATGAAAAAGAGTACTGAAAAGGGCTTAGAGTAGTAAAAAAAAAAAAACAGACATCAATCGTACAGAACCTGCGAACAGGCATAGAGAAATGTAACAACCTTGAGACTTCAGAAAGTCCATTTATAAGGACTACAGGGTTGCAACAGGGAGGAAGAGTAAAAAAAAAACGTATACTAAGGCTCACAGGTGTGACCTTTCCATTGCTTATCTGGTTATTTAGTCTAGTACAGTCTACGTCAGACGGTTTGTAAACACATACACTTATGGTTAATCGTTTTGCACCTGCCACAGTGATTGCACTGTTAATTATGAGTATTTTAAGAAAGTACGGTTACAATATATTACACAAATATATCTGGAACATTTCGTATACCTGCAAAGTACAATTCATACTGAAGAAATCACAGGTTGAAAAAGAGTGAATCATTCAATACTGCTACAGTATTCTTGTGATAATAAAACCTACAAGTAAAATCACATTTTAGTGTAATTTACAAAAAACTAGGAACTACTTTGGTCACTGGCAATGATAAATTACAGATCGATGGGTGGGTGAGGATTATATACATTCATATCAGCTACAGGGTTGCAACAGGGAGGAAGAGTTAAAAAAAAAAAACGTATACTAAGGCTCACAGGTGTGACCTTTCCATTGCTTATCTGGTTATTTAGTCTAGTACAGTCTACGTCAGACGGTTTGTAAACACATACACTTATGGTTAATCGTTTTGCACGTGCCACAGTGATTGCACTGTTAATTATGAGTATTTTAAGAAAGTACGGTTACAATATATTACACAAATATATCTGGAACATTTCGTATACCTGCAAAGTACAATTCATACTGAAGAAATCACAGGTTGAAAAAGAGTGAATCATTCAATACTGCTACAGTATTCTTGTGATAATAAAACCTACAAGTAAAATCACATTTTAGTGTAATTTACAAAAAGCTAGGAACTACTTTGGTCACTGGCAATGATAAATTACAGATCGATGGGTGGGTGAGGATTATATACATTCATATCAACAGTGGCATAAACTGACGCTTTGCAATAAATATTGCCAAATTTTGAGTAACGGACCCAAAAACTGCAGTGGTCTTGCGAATGGCTTTGCCAACACTTTCCAAAACCTTTCACTGACATAAGATTGCCATGCAAAAATAAAGAATATTTCTCAAAAGAACTGAAAAGTTGGCTTTTGGAAAATAAACAAATGTTTTTTTAAAGATTATATTACAAATGCATTCCCTAATGCATAATGCCTAAAAAAACAAGAGTGCAAAAAAGTGCAAGACCTTCTGGATAAAAGGTCAGACTGAACATAAGTACATTTCAGGACAGCTCTTGAAAACCTTCCTAATCTTTTTAGACTTCACATTCTGGGCCTCAAAAGTTTCTTACTCACAATCTGTCCAATTCTCACTTACATCCATCTCCACTTCAAAAGACCACTGCATTTTAATGGTCCCCTGTCAATGCAAAGTCTTTTACACATATGAAAAAGACGGCAGCAAAATGCTGAGACAAGGACAGGTTGACATGCTTCCAAGAGAAAGGGAAAAAAGACAAGGTGAGGCATTCCAGAGATACATGCTGCTAGAACAGTGCTGAAATTGGGCAGGAGAGGTCTTAAAAGCAATGCAAACTGAGCACAGGTTAATATACTTACAAATCAAGTGTACATCAAGCATTGCAAATGCACCACAAACAGATGACATTGATGAGGCGTGCCAGAGATACAGAGGTTTGATTAGGAAAAAAGAAATTAAGCAGCCAAGCAAAACAAAACAAATTGAAATCTTTATAATGTTGTATTTTTACAGGAGTGATGCATGCTGAGAAATGGGCAAGCAAACATGACAATGCCACCAGATCGTGCCACACCCCAAGTAGAAACATCAAAGATAAAGAACTAGGAACTTCGAACAGTTCGGAAAAAATAAAAAAACAATAACAAAGCTAGCATGAAGCCATCATGGTTGAGTGAAAATCTTTGATGCGTATGATAATAAGTTAAACCATTTACTGTTGCTTATCTCAGGTTATGTCTACAAAATCTCTTAATTTATCTAATTTACCACACATCCAACCAGTATGATCTGACAATACAAGCTTAGTTCAAGTTCATACAAAAGTTATCCATCAAAATCTTGAAGAACTAGCTTGCCTAGCTGTGACAAATCGTCAATGCCACACAGCAGTGACACTCTCAAAACTTTCATATCTTGGACATTTGTTGTCATATCGCCACTATTTTAGCAATAGCATATTGCTAGTGCATAAAGACATTAACTTCTGTAAGCTATGACTAACAGAAAGGTATTTCTGGTTGAGTAAAGGCATGGTATCTTTCTGTATTTTTGTAAAACCTTTGTTTCTACACGAATGACAAAAAATATTTCACACTTTTGGCAAAATGATTAGCCAATTGGTTAGCAGTAATATGGGTAACCTTATTTAGCAATTGTAAATAGATTTCAGTCTCTACATTTATAGACATGGCACGTTGCAGAAGGACTTTCAATTACTCATCAATCTGATGTTAATCTTCTACGAGTAATAGATCTGAATTGTACCTATATTTGAAGTATTAAAATATTTCTTTCAGGCAGAACAGAGTCTTCTTCCTAAACCTTCCAAACATTGCAAAAATACCATCGTTGCTAACCTTGTTAATCCTTGCTCAACTAGTGCCACTAAATGTAATTCCCAAACACTGCCCATATCTGCAGGTAATCGTGCCCCAAAGCACAATTGGTTAATGCTATGCCAGGCCATGCCATGTCCGTTTGGTGTCACTAACGGCACAGAAACTACACAATGAACCTTTAAGTACCTTGACTGGGTCTCCGAGTTGCAAAATGGATATACAGTCAACAAATAACCAGGCACACTTCATCTTCTCTAGCAGTTGAAGAATTGCCCCCCATCCTCTTCATTGATGGGATAACTGTAGCCATTGTCTCCCCCTTGTCCCTCATCCTCCAGTTGGAGACTGCCAAATGAGAACTTGCTTCGGGGCATAGGGGAGGAATTGGCTGCTCCAGGGTTTCCAAAGACTAGGGGCTGACTGTAAGAGTTGGTTCCTGCATCTGACTCGGTATCACTAGACTCCGTTCCACTACTAGTGGAACCATCAATCATATGGACTGGGCTACTATGGTCATTAGCACTCACCCGGCTTCCATAGAGCCTCTGGACATTGCTGGATTGAGCTTGGCTAGACGCTCCAAGCCCATTAGCAGCCACACGGCGCTCAAGGGCGGCCATACGTTCAGCCCTTGAGACAACTGATCGAGGTTTATTGGCCGGGGTTGAACTTAACTGGCTCAAAATCATGGGATCAGTGTCGGAACGGTTGCGCATGCCGTTTTGGAGTTTATGCAAGTGTGGGGATCGATTAACAAGTGGGGAGTAGCTCCCATAATGTTGAGGCTCACTCCCAGATCGGCCATTTGTAAGGTAATGACTACCGTCATCCCAACGGCGACGACCGCTATAGCCGATCTGCTCTGGATGGTTCAGGGAGTTGGTTTTGTGAAAACTGCTCATCACTGGGCTGCAGTTTGCACTCCGGGAACCAACTAGATGACCTGAAGGTGACACCAGACCACGTCTGTCCATACCTTGAAACAATTCATCCACCAAGGTACTACTCAGGGGTAGAGCACGTGGTGATCCGTTACCACAAAACGACCCATTAGACAATTGACTACCGTTGAAGGTATCTGAACTCTGACCCAACCGATGGCTGGTCAAAGGAGACTCCCGGAATCTAGACTTGCTTGCTCCTTGTCCATTGTGCTGACCATTTCCATAACCATTACTCTTGCCCGCACTACGGCCGTTTGGCTCAACCTCATCATTGTCATGTGTGTGGGAGTGAGACCTAGTGACACGGCCTTTGACCACATCATATTCGCTATCTACGTCACTGCAGTCAATGTAAGGTATCGAGGAGCTGCTACCCTTGGCAGCATGCAATGCTAGACCTGTGCTCAGATGCTCGGCCTGCTGCTTGGATGGGGATGGCTTTAATCGAGCATCCGCCTCGTCGTGGGTCCCGTTTCGGCATCCGTTGGTCTGTGAGGTTAGGCTCCCAGTGTAATGCTGGAGAGCCGGGTTTTCAACAGTCACTTGGGTGCGCCCAACAGGTGAGTCCGCCTGGTGTCCTGAAGCACTGGCATTCCTCTGCTACATAGAATGCAAGAGATTTGGGAAGGAAGAGGATGAGAGGCATAAACTGACCACTCTTAACACTGGCACTTTAAAGTCAACAAGAAAATGCAGATGCAAGCCACTTAAGAGCTCTATTCCAGAATGGAAGCGGACCCATGAATGGAAGTTACCAGAGGTGGAGCAAGTTATTATACTATGGTGAAAAATTTGTTAAAGTTAAAAAATTAAGTTTTTTTATGTTGTTTATTTGTCTATGTGGTGTTTTTAATATGCTTTTAGACAAACCATTTGCCAATCTATTAATCAACACCATTGCTGTGTATTTTCTCCTTAAAAGAGTAGTTTCCCAAAGGCTGACCCAGAAATGCAGTTTGAAACAGTCCTCGGTTTGTTACGTCACAAACCAATAACCAATCACGTCAAGGGATCGATTCCTATCACTAGCATGCAAAATATAACAATACCAGCACAAAACCAAAAATAAATCAGAGCAAAAAACCCATGAAGCTGTGGTTTAATGTTAATTTAGAACCGCTAACTTGCATTATAACCCGTGGCAACGCGTATGCTCGTGGGCGCGAATTAAGAATCACGGCTGCATTCGAGTCTTCAAGGCATTTTAGGACACAACATCATCAAGTAACTTTAACGAATGTTACAGTATTCACTGTAGTTGTCCACTAGTAAAAACATAGTTTTATCAGTCATTATCCGTGTATGCCACTGTTTTGCGTTTACTACAGTTCAGTGGCTGGAGGCGGGACTAATTTGATTCATAGATCCGCATATAGTAAATGAGGCAAGGGTGTAGAGTTACATTCAAGCAATTTTAAGCCATGAGAAATTTATTTTCACAAGAAAAAACATTTAAATATGTCATTTTGATGATCAAAGATAAGTTTTAAGGGATAAAATATTTGACTACAGGGGGACTTTAAGGCTTTTTACTTTGGAAAAAGGTGCATTGACGATTCGTTTAAGATAAGACCAGGAACGTGTATTTAGTAAGTGATTGGGGTCGATTATGATGTTGACTTTAAGCTTGCATAATATGGGATATTTTAATGCATTCCCGCTGTGTTTGTACAGTATACCAAGATAGATTACACTCACCTCTCCTTGACCCTCGACACACAGCCTGGGTGGGAATGGAGAAAGACCGCTGTTGGACAGGATTTTACTGTGTTTTCTGAGGATGGAGGATTGGAAATGATTAGCAAGGAGTTTTTCCAAGGGGATCTCTTCACTAGGGTCAAAATTTGATATATTTCCACTCAGCTGCTTTATGGATGTTGGCTGATTGGTTTACTGTATGATAATGAAAAGGCCTCGACTGCTGCTAGTTGACTAAAATGATGCCACTAGACACCAAGAAGATTTTGTTCATCTAGTGCTTAAAAACCTTGATGCTGTGTGATGTTAAGGTGAAGTGGGTGGTTGCTAGGTTGTTTCTTGGGTGCTGTGAGTGGTTTCTAGAACGTTTTGGGTGATTTCTAGGTGGTTTCTATTGTATTTTGGGTAATTTTTAGGCCATTGTTTGGTGGTTTCTTTGGTGTTTTGGGTGGTTCTAGGGCATAGCTAGGTGGTTTCTAGAATGTTATGAGTGATTTCCAGGGCATTGGTAGTTGCTTTCTAGGATGCTTTGGCTGATTTCTGCTACGTGCTTTCTAGAATGGGCTGATTTCAGCTAGGTGGTTTCTGGGATGTTTTGGGTGATTTCTAAGGCATTCATAAGTGGTTGCTATGGTGTTTTGGGTGGTTTTTAGGGCGTTGCTAGGTAGTTTCTAGAATGTTTTCGGTGGTTTCCACGGCATTGCTATGTGCTTTCTAGTATGTTTAGGGTGATTTTTAGGATATTTTGGGTGACCTGCTAGGTGGATTCGAGGGATTTCTGGGTAGTTTTGAGGCCATTACTAGGTGGTCTTTGGCTGTTTTGGTTGGTTTTTAGTGTGTTGCTAAGCGGTTTCTAGGATGCTTTAACTGATCTCTGCTAGGTGCTTTCTAGAATGTTTTTGGTGATTTCTAAGGCATTCCTCGATGGTTTCTAGGGTATTTAGGTCATTTCTAAGCCATTGGTAGGTGTTTTCTATGGTGCTTTGAGTGGTTTCTAGGGCGTTGCTAGGTGGTTTCTAGGATGTTTTGGGTGGTTCCCAGGACATTGCTAGGTGCTTTCTAGTATGTTTTGGGTGATTTCTACTAAGAGTTTTCTAGGATATTTTGGGTGATCTGCTAGGTGGTTTCTAGGGACTTCTGGATAGTTTCTAGGACATTGCTAGGTGATTTTTAGGGTGCAGCATATGACATATTTCAGCAAAGACCTGGTGAAAATGCTCAATTGAGATTGGAATGGAATATGGTTAAGTCATATCTAAATGTCATTTGGATAAAAGTGTCATGAAGTGGCATGTACATAAGACGTGGTGTTTATGAATGCAAAATTTGACTTATCTCAATAAAGGTTCTCAGGAAATAGATAACTGGTGTGTTGACTGTTTTGGAGGGAAATTAAATGCAGCAGAAAGGTAGTGACATTTAGACAAAGGTCAACAGAGAAAACTCACCTTTCAAAAGGAACCTTTTTGAATTCAGAGTCCTTTACATAATCAATCACCTGCCTTTGTGTGCGGCCACTAATGAGGCAAAACATGACAGATGATAGAGCGATTCAGAAACAAAGAGAGAAGAAGAAAACGTGTACATCAAAACATTAACCAATTGGCAAGAACTGAGACCTACTTGCACTGTGATTATTTAGCAAATAAATGCATGCAGAATACATGCTGAGCTAGAGAAAGAAGTTACTGGGGTAAAACGTCTCACTTAGTGGTAAATTTAATTTCTGGTGATGGTGAAGACACCATTTAAGTTAATTTAAGACAAATTTAAGTGCACATGTTATTACCTGAACCTGAAAGAAGAACCCCTGGTGAACAAAACCGGTTTGGGCTTGGGTTTAGGTTCTTCGAACAGGCGGAAAAAGGCATGATACTCCACACAAATCTTCCAAAACACCTTGCAGCAGTCCCTGCTTCCCATCATAAACTCCAGAGTATCCTGACAGTTACTCTGCTACGAGAGCAGAAACAGAACATTTTGTCTTTTTAATGTTCCCTAAGCTAAAGGGCAAATGGAGACATTCGGATATTGTTATAAAACAATCAAGGGAGCACTTACATTTAAGTCAGGTCGTAGTTTTATGAGAAAGCGCTTCCTTTTGAAGCTCAGCTTGCGGACTTTAGACCAGTTGAAAGCATTTATTTTGGTGTGTCCCTTTAGAAGTCAAGCATAAAAGTGCATTTAGGGACAATTTAAGAAAATAAAAACCACAACATATTCCGTTTAAGAACAAGAAAGCTTTTCTCTAGGATAAACCTCATATAGCCACAATAATACCCTTCTTCATTTAGAAAAACACTTGTAACTTACCTGAAAGACTAGCACACCAGAATGGGCCACGGCGAGGCTGAGCTTCGTACCCTCGCGATCTTTTGCGGGGTGAAGACGCACTCCGTACATCTCGAGTCTTCGTGCGATCTCCAAAAGCTGGTAGTCCGATTCAGCTGGTGTTTGCCCACTGTGGAAGCGTTAAATTATACAAAATTAAGCCACATCTGTTTGTGTGAAGAATCTCTACAAGTTTGTAAGATTAATATTGCAAGTAATAAGCTTTATAATCACAACCTTAAAAGACATGTCAGAATCAGCATGCAGGATCTGAACTTTTATAATTGTTCATAATTGCTGATGAAATCTGCTCACTGATAAATATCACACAGTTTACTGGCACTTTCTAAATTAAAAATGAACTTTAAATGTCAAAGCAATCTTCAAATTGTACATGGCGACCAATTCCCTGAATAGTATGTTTAATTAGCAAAGCTCTAAAGAGAGGGAATTTCGCTAAATAAGAAGCTCCTTCATTTGTGGCAATAAACAGCACACTGATCATTTAATGCTGAGAAACATCTGATATTATGTTTGCTTTCAGCTGGACTATATTGCATATAAATCCAAGCATCCGTTAAACCAAATAACAAGTTTGATTTGACTTTGAGTCATGACATTACACTCACACGTGTTTCTGATGGTATTCAATGATCTTGTCCATCAGTGCGTCCTGCTCGGGAATGTACTTGTTGTTGAGTAGATGTTGTTTGCACTGCACCTCTTCAAAGTCTCCAATCTCAGCTGCAACCATAGAAACAGAAACATGTTTTTATATCAATTATATTTTTTATATCAATATAATAGTATGCAGTAGTAACTTAACTTAGTGTATGTATATGTGTGTGTGTGAATGCGATATCTAAAATGTATTGCTAATTAAAGCTGCAGTCCGTAAGTTTTGCCTCTTTGTCGCCATCTCAGTTTGAAAACCTGGAATTGCAGCTGTGTGCGAAATTATCTAGCTTGCATGGGTTGCGAGTCGGCATGGCTCCAGCGCGGATGAATCTAATGTTCTGAAGAGTATGTGTGGCAGTCAGTCACTGCACCTGTGTGGATATCTACTGTAGTTCGCAATCACAGATTCTAGCCTACATCTTGGAATATAACCCAAATAAGATTGTTTTCAAGTATTGCCATGTGAACAAGTAAGTAACAAGTCTGCCACGTTTGTTCTGACCAACTGTGGAAAAAAGCATTACCGTAAATCTCGCTACCAATGGTGATTAAATCTAAAGATCGGTTAGCTCATATCACATCAAACCGTTCAAATTATTATTATTGTTATACTTTATTCTCAAATGATTAATGTTAACAGCATCAGCATTGGTGACTATGAGTATAGTGTGTATTAGCTTGTAGATTTCTGCACAGTCTAATCTAATTGTCATACTCTTCGAATTTCATATTAAGAAATTATTTTAACCCAAAAAAGCAAATTATGCTCCCTTCGAACTGGTTTTCTTTCAAATACAAATCTTTGTAATCCCAGGCTGTCTGTAATACAATTTAATTTCATTCACATGTGTTTCATAAACACATAATCCTTTCTGGATTACAATCCGCCATCAAAATGATACATTTAATTATTCTAGCTGCTGTGAGAAAAGGCTATAAGCGATCGGACACCTGCAGGATCCTCACATGCATTAGCCTAGTAGCCGGGACAACTTCTTTATGTTTACAGACGTGACGTATTGACGCAGTGCCATGCTCAAATTTCCCGCGAAAACCTACCCATACCACTCAAATTAAAACCCATTATTATAAGCTGACCGTTGTGAATCGGGCTAAAGTAAGCGATAGTTTTGAACACTGGCTGGTTATGTACTTGCTCAGATATTGATTTCCGATCATTTTTAACCAAAAAAAGTTACAGACCGCAGCTTTAAGTTCATTGGAGTTTACAAATCGTAAAATTTTTAACTATATTTGTTTTCTACTTTTACCATGCTGTTCACAGCAAAAAATATATATTTGGCTTACCAAAAGTGTATATATTATATTATATTATGCTACCATAGTTAATACATCATTAAATGTCAGTGTCAGTATATTTAACACAGTTAATGTTTAAATACAGTCAAAAAGTAAAACAAAATAATGAGATTAAACTCAAATAATTATTTTCAAATATTAAATTATTTTAATATTTGATTTTTTATAGATTTGCTGCTATTATAAGAGCTTTAAAAATGTAAAAATGCTTTGGTTTGTACCACTGGTCAGTCTCTTGATTCTATTACTGATGCTACACTAGTCCTCAGCATCCTCAGCAGCGGTTTCCATAGCAACTAACCAGTCTGTGATGTAGTGATGTGGAAGCAAAGTGTGTTTGACATGATTTGAACATGGTTTTGCATGAGCGACAACATGAAGTATAATCCGATCCATCCACTCGATGACAGCACTGTCATTCAAATAATCCTTCAGGAATTCTGCTGACAACAAAGACTAGTCTACAAGATTAATATACTTAAACACTGCTTTTGTGATGGAGATTTAACATAGATCATAATTCTGTTTGTTCAGTGTCTTTATTGTCCTAAATACAATTATTGACCTATTTTCAGCTCCCTAATGTGTGAATGTTTTTGACTGTTAGATTGTATGAACTGTGCCAAAATCATCAAACCGATAAAAGTGCAATGAAATTAACAATGAAACTTCAATGCATCTATTACAGAATTTAATAAATGATTATGCAATGCATTATGCATTTATTTCTTACCTAAAATACAATGCCTGATCTATTTTCAGTTAAATATCGCCAAAATCCAGCTTTCTAATTTACTTGCACAATTTGAAGCATGCATCTTATTTCATTAAGGATCATAATCAGATCTAACCCATGTCAGCGTGATTATTTACACTTCTAGTGCCGGTCTTGAATGTCTTACATTGCACTATATGAGACACCAGCAGGGCGGCGCTGCTTTCATTGCAGGTCAAATCTCCACAGGCCAGGTCATGCTTGATCTGCAAGGCGAAAAGATACCTGTCGGGAAATAATGAGAGCAGTTTAGAAGAGAGACTGAATCAGAATGACAGACAGTAAATCAATAGAAAGGTTTCAGTACAGTGACAGATGCTTATTGACTGAATTACAGGCAGTTTAATGTGTGTAACAATGACACAACTGATTTCAATAGTCTGACGCTAATGACACATTATACAAAATATTAAGTGCGTTTATTATTTAAAAGTCCATTTTTGATCAATATTTTCTGGTATTTTCATGCAACAGAGCAGAGGGCAGATCAGAAGTGCTTGTGTTTGAAGGTTAGTCTGGCTTTAACAGCATCTTCTCATGACGCTAAGTGCAGTCGTGAACTATAAAGAGACGCTCTGATTGAGTTTGGCAGCGTTTCTCTCTCAGTATGTCCATCTGTTATTGTGCTGCTGCCAAGCATAATAAACTCATTATTCAGTTGATTATGCGATCAAACAGGACTCACAGCTTAATAATAGGGATTTTTCTGCTGGTCCAGTCGGACCATAGTCTGTATTTGTACTTCTTCAAAATATCTTTAGTCAACCAATCGCAAAACACGATAATAGTTATTTTAAACTTTTATTATGTGTGCCAAATGGAAAGTATATACTTATTTTCAATAAATTACATATAAGTATATATACTTTCCAATTAAATTTACATTGTTAGATTTTATTTACAAAATAAGCAACAACAACAAAAAAAAATTCTATAGCTTTTGAATTGAATGAAACCAGCATCTGTGTTATAGATTCTGTATTTATATATAATATTACATGCATTACATAATGTTAGTAGTTTTGAATAATAATCTTTTGGGTTGTCACCTTTAAGCTCCAGATACAAAACTAAACTCAAATTAGATGAATCACCAGCAAAGAATGTGAAGAATTTAATTCACTGGATTATTAAAAAAATAGGCTTTTCCAAGTGGTTATGTAATACAAGCTATTTTTAATGGCATTTCCAGCCAAAATAACTATATAATGATTTATACCATGACTGTTGCATAAAATTACTCATACCATGAAATATGATTTTAGTCAAACCACCTACTCTTTTGCCTGCTTAAACCTCTCTGCCTTCCAAAACTAAACTATTAAAAATGCTTTCTACAACTGAAATTAAGATTAAATAAAATATAAATATTAGGCTTAAAAATGAGGCTTAAAGCTAAACAGAACTATTAAAAAACAACTAATAATAATAATAATAATAATAATAATAAAATAAATAAAACTAAAAGTTCATTCAAAATATGAATAAATACTATAAAAATATATAAATAATACTAGTGTTACTTTAGCATCATTGAGATGCAATTAGAATTTTTATTTTTATATTCTCTGTAGTTATTTTTATTTTTTAGTCATTTTGTTCTGTTTTTCTCATTTCTAGTAGTTTTTGTTGATATAGTCATTATTGATTTTTATTTCAGTTTGAGTTATTTTAGGACATCAAGTTACACAAAATAAAAATGTCGCCTTGACAATTAGCTGAAATAAAAAGTTTAACATTTTATTTCATTTCAGTTTTTCAATTATGTTTTATGGTTTTAGTTTTAGCATTTGTTAACTACTGTATAATAACCCTGGAGAATCCTAAAATAACACTTCAAAAACTCTCTCTCTCAAAAAAAACATTTTTTTTGAGTTTTCAAATTGAGTGCAAATGTTTCATTCTTTTTTCATTCTCTTCAGTTCATGCAGTGGGTTTTCGAACCGATTTCCAAAATGTTCTATTAGGCTATCAGCCTAATGTTTACACAATCCATCAAAAAGATTTTTACAGCTTGAAGTGTTTTGAAAAGGCAAAATGTCCTTGGCCGAATGTTTCAGGTTTGGCAGTAATATAATGCGCAGCCATCACAGGAACATCAGAAGCTCTTTCTCTCCTGCCAGCAGCTACTGACAGCCCGGCCAGAACGCTCTGAGAAAACACAGAGACTCCTGGGAGTCTTATTCTGCCTCAGATTTCCTCTCCTGAATGATGCCTGACTCTCTAAAGCTGACGGGGAAATGTGCCACCAGTCGTTCTGTCGGTGAACGTGCTGTAAAACTCAGCCGCAGAATATTAACATTTCAGTTCGGCCATAAATAAGTCATTAGTTATGGACATTACAGCAACTGAAAGCTCTTGCATGATTTACAGGCCACTTCACTCACCTTCTACATCAGATGCATTATATTGATATCGAGTGATTGAGGCCACATTACAACCACAACTGAATAAATGTCTCCAACGTTCATGTTCTATTTATTGAAATCCAATCTGAGAATGACCTGTAATATTTATCTTTATTAATAGAACAAAATTGGATAAAATATGACACAATTTGAAAATTACACAATTATGTCACAGTAATTATATGCTAGTGCTATGTTTTTCTTTTTTTCTTTTTTTTAGATATATTATCGCTTTAGATATAAATCGATTTAATTTGTTTATTACTATAAGCATAATTTATGCATTTTTAATTATGTCAAATATTTCACAAATGAAAGATACCTCATCTCCTCTAATAATTTTCTTTGTTACTTGCACCTTAAAGATTATTCATAACAAATGATTGATAACTCTTAAATTATATCTATATGTTTCAGTTAAGACTCAAATATTAAAATAAAAGTAATATAACAGTTCTAACTTCTATAACAGTAGACATTATAACTTAACATATATATTTTCTTTCAATTAATATTAACATTAATAAGTCTCATACTAGTGGTTTCTTTTAAGTATTGATTATTTTAAATTATTTCAAAATCCAGTGAGAAAATGTATTAATGGATTTAATTTATGCAGAATTTTTTTGTTTTTAATTCAGTAAAATACTTCACAAATAAACAGCATTTCATCTCATTTGATTATTTACTCTGTTATTTGAAACTTTAGATTATTCATAACAAATAAATGATAACTCATTCCACACTGTAGTTAAAAACACAGCTCTAACATTAAATTCTGGTGGGCTGAGTCATATCTGAGTCATATATTTATACACACACACACACATATATGCACACATTTTGATATAATAGCCAATCATGGTTATTTTTATTAATGCTACTATTATTGTTACAATTAATAATAATAGTTTACATGTTCACATATATATTTATATATATATATTTTTTTTTTATTCGTTTGTTTGTTTGTTTATTTGAACATACAAATGATTATAGGCCGTGTTAGTAACGTAAACGGCTGTAAATGAATAGGACAAACGGCACCTGGTCAGCTCCTCTAGCAGCTGCGTGTGATCGGGAGGGAAGAACTTCACCACGAAGCGCAGGATGGTGTTCTTGGGTCCTGCAGACACACAAACATGATGCATGATGACGTGCTGTCAGATCGTGTCGTCTGGTGTTCACGTTCACCAGATCAACTCATGAGAGATACTCGGATACGTACGTCTGATTTGCTTTAGGATCGGCTTCAGCAGATCCAGCCACACCTGAGAGGAGAGTCAAACCAAACAAACAACGCACACGTGTGTTAATGCACTGGGTGTGTTCTCACATATTACAGTTACATTTACAATTAACATTCCTCTTAAAAAATGTTCACTGAGCTTGTTGCAATGCCTTATCCATGATATATAAATGCCTTAGATTTTGGTCGAACAAGGAATATATTATACGACAGCATAATTTTGCAGCCAAATGTTTGGAACATCCTGTGTTTACAGGTTAATAACTTAATATTTTAATGTGTTTGCATAAATTATTTCACTAACAGTATGTCAAGAATTTCTGTAACACGTCTCTTCACTTAACCACGAATGGTTATGTAAAAAGTTAAATAGTTTACACAAACAATCAATGTTGTTGTTATTATTATTATATAATATTATATCCTAAAATACCATGTCAAGCATTTACTGTAATACATCACTTAAAAACACTCATGTAAAATCATGTAAAAAAAACAATTTATGATGTTATTGTTATTATTAAAATAACAACAATAATAATAATGATGATAATAATAATAATAATAATAATTTAGCCTAATACACTACGTCAAGCATTTCTGTAACACATCATGGTTAAGTAAAATAAATAAATAAATAATAACAATAAAATGTATAATAAAAAAATAAAGTATAGTAAAGTAAAATAATAATAATACTAATAAAGTATAAAAAACTAAACAAAACATAAAAATTAAATAAAATAACTCAAGTGCTGCTGAACTCAATATGTCAGGATTAAAAAAACACATCTGTTTGCTGTCTACTGTAGCATGTTTATCATGCCTACGAATGCTGTCTAGGTAGGCAGCTCACTAGGGTTTGGTAAGGAGCCACTGTGCCTTAGACTTCTAATGGACACAAAGAACGTTAGCACCTGAATACTGTTTATAAAGTTAGCTTATGTTTCACATATTGACATCAGAATTACAAATGAAGTGTTGCTCACGGTCATTTTATGCTGGTCCTGAAACTCCAAACTGAAGTAATCGCCCTCGATGAGGTTCAGGTGAGCACAAACCAGGTCAAACAGCACCTTCCCTGGAGCCCGTTGCTGTCCAAACAGAGACGAAAATCACTTTTAGACATGAAACACATACAGCAGTTCATCTGATGGTACAGGCACCTGTGTAAGCTAAGCATTTATTTTAACGCTGAGGAATCATGTTTAAAGAAAGTCCAAATGAATATGGCGTTTCACTCGTTACACAGGTTGCAAACGTCACTTCATTCTCACTTCAACATTAAGCATCTCAGTCTGTGGCAGGATCAAAGACTTCAGTGAAATGTATAATTACAGTAAACGTAACAGGAGCCAGAGAGTTTGTCAAACAAATCCAGCGGGAAACAAACACGCTCCTGATTGGTCATCGATTTCACAACAGTTTTAATGAGACGCTTGCCACCGTGACCCATGAGCTCGCTGTTAAAACCAGGCCAGACAACACAAACACACACAACACACACACACACACACACACACAAACTGCCATGTGCAGCACACACACACACACTCTCTCTCACACACAGACACACACACACACACTGCCACATGCAGCACACACACACACACACACACTCTCTCTCTCACACACAGACACAC